GTTGTCACAGAATCACAAGATTGCCCATTTGGAGGGGGCCTCAGAAGCCTTGAGTCTGAGCGCTTGAAAAAAAGAATCACCTGCTACGACCTCCCGAAGGAAGTGTCATCAGGTCTCTGTGGGGAGCCCTCAGCCTCCCAGGGATGCCCATTCCTTTTGGGGGAGCCCCAACACCTGCCTCTTACTGCCTTTGTCTTCCCCCCGGGTCAAGCGGAACGAGCCTGATCCCTGGAACACAGGACAATCCTTCAGACACATGAAGGCAATGTTCCCTCCTCCCCTCTTTTCTTCTCTGGGTCCCCCTACACAGGGCTGCTTTCAACTGATGCCCGGAAGGCACGGCTCCCAGGGCCGGCCCTCCTGGGGCCCAGAACTGACCACAGGCCTCTGGGGGAGGCCTGGCTCAGGCGGAGGAAGGAAGGCCCGGCAGCCCCTCTTCGCTCCTCAAGCTCTGCCTTGCTCCTTCCTAGCTGAACACAGCTGGCGTGTGTCTGGCCCTGTGAGGTTTATGAGGGCTGTGCCTCGGTGGGAGTCTGTGCAGCGGCTGGTGCAAAAGCTGGCACCCTTCCCCTCCTTGTGGAGTAGGAAATGGGGGCTCAGAGGGGTGAAGCATCTTGCTCAAAGTCTCTTAGCATTGGCCGTGCATGTTGGCACTAGAACCCCTGAGAACCTCGAAGGTATTCTCTCTGTCTCTGTCTCTGTCTGTCTGTCTCTCTGTCTCTCTCTGTCTCTGTCTCTCTCTGTCTCTGTCTCTCTGTCTCTGCCTCTCTCTGTCTGTCTGTCTCTCTCTGTCTCTGTCTGTGTCTCTCTGTTTCTGTGTCTCTGTCTCTCTGTCTCTCTCTGTCTCTCTTATTCTCTGTCTCTCTCTGTCTCTCCATCTCTCTGCCTGTCTGTCTCTCCCTCTCCTTCTCTCTCTCCCTCCCTCCCTCTCTCTCTCTTTCCCTCTCCCCCCCCCCCTCCCGCCTCTCCTCACCATGCTATGCTCCCTTCCCTACGTCAGTCGTCCTCTTGTGGGTGACCGCTCCCTGGCACACAGCCCTCCAGCTGCAGCCTGACCAGGACAGGTTCAGGTTTGTGCCTGGCCCACCTGGGCTGGCTTCAGCGTCCCCAGCTCCAGCACCCTCATTGCCTCCTCTTGAGCTTGTGGGCCACTACCACGCTCAGTCTTTGCGCCATCCTTCTCCCATCTTGTGCTTATAGAGATGGTCTTTTGAACCCTGTCCAACCCTAGTGAGCTTCTTTTTATTAGACTTGGAGCCAGAAAGGCTTGGGTTTAAATCCTGCCTCAGTAAGAGTTGTGTCAACCCAGAAAGTGAGTTATTTAATCTCTCTCCATCTCAGTTTATTCCTCTGTAAAATAGGTTGACTAGCAACACCTACCTTGCAGTGCACTTATGAGCCTGAAATAAGATAATGTATAGAATTGTTGCTGTTGTTCGGTTGTTTTTCAGTTGCGTCCAACTCTCTGTAATCCCTTGTGGGGTTTTCTTGGCAGACATGCTAGAGTGGTTGACCATTTCCTTCTCCAGTTCATTTTGCAGATGAGGAAACTGAGGCAAACAGGGTGAAGTGACTCGCCCAGGGTCATTGCGCTAGTAAGTGTCTGAGGCTGGATTTGAACGCAGGAAGATGACTGCAGGCCTAGTACTCTGTGCACTGTGGCGCCCCCTAGCGCCCAATATATAGAAAGCACATTGTAAAATTAAGACAGTTCCATCAATATCGCCTGTTGTCATTCCTTGTTCCCTCCACATCCAATACCTGGGGTCCCAGCCCCTCCGAGCTGGAAGGGACTCCACTATGGCAGCCAGTGGTCTTCCACCCTCTCTCCCTCTTCAGCATCTGGACAGCACCCTGGATCGCAGAGCACAGACCCAGAGAGGCCACGGAGCCCGTCTGAGAGCTGCGGTCACCTCCCTTCCGAGAGGTCAGAGGTCCTGCCCAGTAGGGTCACCCCAGCTAGCAAGGTCTGAGGCAGGACGTGAATCCAAGTGTTTCTGCTCTCCGGCGCAGCACGATGTCCACCCTGCCTTTCGGTGCAGTGTGAGGGAGCGCTGTGAGGGGAGACCCACGGAAGAAGGAGGTCCCGGGGGAGGAGCACAAAGGCACGCCACCGTCCTTCAAGTATAGCTCCCCCTTCTCTGCAGAGGTGGGGGGCTACGGCTGTGGGACGCTGCGCATCATGGCAGGCTTTTTCAGGAGACGTCGCTTGGTTTTGCTGACCTTTCTTCCCTCTCCTCTGTTCCTAAGGGTCGCTTCTCTGGAAATGGGGAAGGATGCATTGGGAAATGGAGATTATGTGAAAACAACAGATATTCATAAACCACTTGTTTTAAGAAGATAGAGAATGCTAGAGACCTTGGGACTTGCCTAATGTCACACTGGTGGAATATATCTGGGCATCTGACCCCAAAGCTGCCCCTCATGGCACCATGCTGCCCCCATTCACTGGCTGGCATCCAGCTGGACTTTACTGGACATTACCCCTGGTCCTGTCCTATGATGCCCAGCAAAGCAAGTCTGAGACACTTCCCACTTGCGTGCCCTTCACATTCTAGGAAAAGAAAATGATCCTTGGAGATAGCGAGTGAGAGTCTGTTCTATGGCATCTCTGCTTTGGGATGGGCTACATTCCTGGAACTTGCCTCTTACAGCCAATGCGTCCCGGGGTTGGGGAAAACACAGCTTCTTGCCAGATTCTCACTGGGTGTCTGGTGCTACTGGGAGGTGCCCCTTGGCTTCCCCAAATTGGGGCTCCACAGGCATCCCTTACCCCAGCCTGTGTCCTCAGATTCCTCTTGGCCCTGCCCCTATCCTGGTATCTTTTTGGCAGCAGGCAGAAACTGCCTCTTAGACAGATCCTGCTCCTGGTGTCTCTCTGCTGCCATCTGCTGAGCCTGGCAAACCTCACTGGTCCCGGAGGGTTATGTGATATGTGGATTGATTGAAATGACTGAGGAAACACAGGTTTGAGCTTCCAGAACTATAGATTTATCAAGCAATGCCTGCCAACTGCTCAATAAACTGGGACCAGGTCTCCTCAGCTTGGCACGGGACCCTGAATACAGGGGGAGACAGATTTTTATGCATTAAAAGAAAGGCTAGAAAGCAGCATTCAGGACGAGGTAATCTGATTTCTAATTGGAATAAAGATTAGGGGCTTTCCACATTGGAAGGGAGAGAGTGAACAGGTGCAATTCTGGAATCAGAAAAAGAGGTGTCCCATCCCCCGCAATCTCTGATTCGGTGAAAGCAACATGGAAACAATGAGTGATTGATCAGGACGCGGCCAGTTTTCAGATAAGCCTTACGGGTCGCTTGAGATGAGTAACAGAGAGGAAAGCCCTTGCACCAGTCTTCGGATCTGAGTGGTTTCTGGTCAGCATAACCCAGGTCTTCGGTGTAGGGTCTCTAAGCACTAGGGAGAGGGGGTCCAGCTTCCCAGGGGCGAGGCCCAAACACTGCAGTGAAGTTTGCTCTCATTTCCTCTAATTGAATCGAGTTTTCTCACAGGACAGACATTGGACCAGACCTGTAACTGAAGAGAAGGGAGTTGGGCTAGCTCCAGAACTGAGTCCCAAGATGGAGTCAGAGTGGCTCCTCCCGCAGTTAAGATCCTCAGGCCCAGGCGCTTACCAGCGGCGGTCACCATTGGGTGGAGGTGATGGGCAGCGAAGCTTAGGTGCCTCTTAGGCAGCCTTGTGCCCTTGGCCCCTGGCTCCTCAGAACGCCGGCCCTACGCCCGGGTTAGCTGACTGACCCAAGGAGATGGCGTGATACGGTGACGTAGCACTAAGAGTCCCAAGGGCAGATCTGACATTGCTGCTTCCTCCTCAGGACTTTGTCCATATCATGGACGTTCATGAGACCTTTGTCTGCCATTGGCCCTTGGGCTTGCAGGCTGGCAAAGCTGCTGGACCCCATCCTTCTCAGAATCATGTTTTAAAAGGCATATAATAAAACACAAAGGATTACAAAGCAAGCCAAAGGCAAATCATCATTTTTCCCATACAAATTCATGGACACCCTCCCTGCCAAAAATTGATCCATAGACTCATTGGTGGACTATAGACCCAGGATAAGAACTCCCAGATTAGATGATCCAAGGTCTTTTCGAGGCCCAAATCTACAATCTTCTGACCAAAGTTTGGCCTTTAGTGAGGGGAATGGGCTGCCAGGGGAGGTAGTGAGTTCCTCCTCAGTGCTGGTATTCAAGCAGTGACTAGCTTCCCACTTGCTGAAGATGGGCTGATTTCTTGCCAAATAGGAACTGAAAGAGATGTCCTCTCAGGTGTCATCCAGCTGTGAAAATCTGGGGTTCTGGGCACCTGGACTGTCGCTCCAGAAAGGAGCGCCTTGTGAGGGCCTGTTTCTGCCCCCGCACATCTAGTCTTAGTTGAATTTCATGCTTTTCTCCAACAGACTAATTTCTGCTTTTCATTCCACAACACACAAGAAGACAGATTTTTCTAAAGTAAAGGTGAGTTACCCATACATCTCACCCCTTTGCTATGAAACTAAAAATTTTAAAAATCCCATTGCCAGTGCGGACGTTGACTCGAGTCTTTTTTTCTCCTTGGTCTAAACTCAATGGATGAAGTTCCATCCATTAAAAAGGGAAGTCCCAGTGTGCAAAATCCACCCACCAATGCAGAGCCACAATGGCTCTGTGAGGGACCCTGAGAGGTGGTGACTTACCCAGGGTCACACAGCCAGTGGGGGTCAGAGGCAGCTCAGGTCCTCCCAAGGTCTTTCTAAGGCTGGTCCTTTAGCCAATAGGCCATGCAGCCTCATGGTGCCAATTGGGATGAGGTGTTGTGGAGGCAGGTGTGTTTGAGGAGACTTTCTCATGTATGTTGAAGTATCCAAGTAAGAATGCAGGGGTAGGGATGGAAGGAAGAGAGCAGGCAAAGAGAAGAACCCCTTGAGACAGGAGAGAGAATGACCATGGGGGAACAGTGGATGACAGTCTCAGCGAGAGGCTGAGAGGAGAGCAAATGATGAGCTCGCTGAGCTGTGGGGAAGGTGAGGAGCCCGCCTGCCATGCCCCCTTCCTTGTGGGAGCCCTCCTTGATGGCGTTCCAAGTGAAACCTGGAAGAAGATGGCAGTAGTGCCAGGCTTGGAGCACCGTCTCCTGGGTGGGAGCCCATCAGCCCTGGGGTCTGCTGGTCCTAGAACCCAGCGGTCGCCCAGCCGAGGAGAGAGGTTCTTGCTGAAGTCTGGGCCCCTGGAGCCCAATGCCCCACTTGGGGAATTTCAGCTGGAGGCCCAGCCATAACAGGGGTGACTAGAGCTCAATCCAGGACTAAACTGTTTTTGCCCTAGGTGAAAATTTTGCTGGTTTTAGCTTTGCCTGTAGGCCATGGTAGGGATGGTTGGGGGCCCAGGCCAGGGGACTAGAATTCAGACCTGGCCCGAGGCTGTGGTTCTTCACTCCTCCCATGTGCCAGGAGGCTTTGGGGTTCTCCAGGCCTCTCCTGGTAAACTTGAAAATATCCTCCCCCCCCCCATCTCCCACCACTCAGGAGTCAACTTCCTTCGTGGCAAACATTTTCAAGGGAAAAATCGTCGCAAACAACATGTTCCCCTTCCCGTCAGGTAGGAAGTGGAGTGGTCCCCCCTCCCGAGCCAAGTGGCCCCCCCGAGCCAAGCCGCCCGAGCGGCAGGACCTTCGAGGCCGGGACAGGGCCTCACAGCCTCTCTCTTCTCCTCTAGTTCTCAGTGAGGAGCAGACTTGGTTCCTGAAGACTCTGTATGAGCCCTGCAACCGCTTTTTTGAGGTGAGCGCTGCCCGGCACCCCCAGGCTCTTTGGTTCCCAAGGAGGAAGTTGGGGGGCCTGGCTTCTGTAGGGCACTGAGTGAGTCACAAGCCTCAGCAGCCGTGTTCTAGATAGGACGTCACTGCCTGCCTGACCAGGAAAGCAGGGGCCGCCAGTCTGATGGTGGGCAGGGAGAGAAGGCCCAGGGCAGAGCCCCCTAGACTCGTGAAGTGCAGCTAATATGAGGGGCCCATAGTACAGATAAGGAAACTGAGACCCCAGGTGCTCTTTTTTTTCCTTTTTTTAAGCAATTGGGGTTAAGTGACTTGCCCAGGGTCACACAGCTAGTAAGTGTCAAGTGTTTGGTCTGAGGCTGGATTTGAACTGAGGTTCTCCTGACTTCAGGGCCGGTGCTCTATCCACTGCGCCACCTAGCTGCACCCCCCCCATGTGCTCTTAACCATGATCAGGAGATGCAATAAAGCAATGCCCTTTGCTCTATTGTTGAAACTGTTAAGTCACTTGTGAGAAGTGGGTCCAGTCTTGAGTAGGGCATCAGCATTCCCTAATCCTGGGTAGGCTGAGCAAGCTGGCTGGGGGTGGGGGGTGAGGCAAGGTCGGGAGAAGACCATTCCCTGCTGATAGCGCCACCCAGCTCTGGGGCAGCCATATTTACCCCATTTCATAGATGAGTCGTAGAGAGGTAAGGGACTCCCAAGCTTCTGATTCTTCCATAGAGTTTATGGGGCATCTCATTCTCATCAACTATTTAAAATTGTATCTTTGAAGGAGGTTAATGACCCGACTTGGAATGACAAAAATGAAAAAGTCCAGGCAAAAACCCTACAAGGGCTCAAAGAGCTGAAAATGTTTGGGTTACAGGTGCCTGAAAAACTAGGAGGCGCGGGGCTCACAAACACCCAGGTGAGGGGGAGAAGGGCAGGGGGAGGGAAGCATGGGACTGACAGACACCTGAGTGAGTGGGAGGAGGGTATGGGGGAGGGGAGCCTGGGGCTGACAGATGCCTGGGTGAGGGGGAGAAGGGCATGGGGGAGGGGAGCATGGGGTGACAGACACCGGGGGGAGGGGGAGAGGGGCATGGGGCTGACAGACACCTGGGGGGGGGGGAGGGGGGGGGGGGGGGGGGAGCACGGGGCTGACAGACACGCAGGTGAGAAGGGAGGAGGAAATAGGCAGGGTGAAAACACGGAGGCCTCTAAAGCAGTCACTTCCAGTTTGGAGCAGAGCCCCGACTTGGGAGGGAGGCATGGGAAGGGAGCTCCCTGGCTTCGGGGTCCCGCTGATTCGGAAGGTGCTTGTCCAGATATCAGTGCACTCTGAGCCCTGAGGGTCCCAGATTTTGAGCTTGAGGAAGTTCAGGGGCATCTGGTCCAACATTCCCATTTCTAGATGAGGAAGCTGAGGCGTAAAGAGGACAAGGGCCCCCCTAAAGCCAAGCTGAAGCTTTCCCTGTGGTCCCCTCCCCTCTTCCCCCCCCAGCCAGGTGGGAGCCCCCTTTTTACCTCCCAGAGCAGGCGAGGCAGAGCCTGAAAGGTCATAACGCCCCCTTCCCCTCGGCCATTCTGGGGTCTGCTCTTCGTCTTCCTGGGAGGCCCAGGGGTTACCCGGGCGGGGTGGAGCCCTGTGACATTTCTGTCGCGGTCCCTGTCTGGCAGTATGCACGCATGGTGGAGATCCTGGGCTGGCATGACCTGGCCGTGGGCGTCACTCTCGGGGCCCATCAGTCCAGTGGCTTGAAGGGGATCCTGCTGTTTGGAGATGAGCACCAGAAGGAGAAATACCTGCCTCACCTGGCCTCTGGTGAGGAGCCTGCCCTCTCTGCTAGCCCAGCCCACGCTCCCTTCGTCTCCCCTGGGTCCAGAAGACCTCAGCCTGGCATTCGCGGCCTCTGCACTCTGGCCCCAATCTTCCTTTCCAGCCTTTGCTCCCGTTACCTGCCGACGAGCTCCACACAAACACGCTTGACTCCCTCCAAGTGTTCGCCTTCACCTGCACTTGCTTCCCCGCCTGGGGTACTCATTCCCTCCTTCCTGTCCACACTTCCTCCAGGAGGCCCACCGACCATCCCAGTCACCAGAAAGCCCGTGTCCCAGCCCCAAGCTGCCATTCTAAGTCTTATATCCCCAGCTAGAGTGTAAGCTCGCTGAGGGCAGGGACCACACGTGTGCCCCGCAGCACCTCCTGTGGCTTTTTGCACATAGTAAGGGCTCCATAAAACCTCCGTGAGCAGGGGGATAGCGGTGAAGGACGGCACGGACCTCAGGCACACCTTCAGGAATGCTGCCCTGATTGTGCAAGGCCCACTCGGTATCCCAGTCCAAGGGAAAGGTGGCCAAGCCTCCGGGAGTGGCCCGCAGAAGCAGCCCGCCTCTGGCCAAGCGGCTGTGGAGCCCTGACCGGCCGCCCTCCATGGTCCAGCCTTGGCAAACTCCGGCCCCCAGCCAGCTCTTCATTCCATCTCCCTGGTTTACACTTAGCCTCAGGAAAAGGCCGGAGGCTCCCTACTGAACAGCTGGAGAGGCCAGGCCCAAACTCCCAAAAGCATCCAGGCCTGTGGACACGCTCCACCCTCAGCCAAAGGGACGACAATGGCCTTGTTGCTAGGAATAGGCTGGTCCGGAGTCCCCTAAATGCGTCTCTGGGATTCTTCAGGCTCCCCTAACACTTGAGGGCCCCTGGCTGCGTGGACGCCCAGAAGACCGGGGAGTTGGGGGGTGGAGAGAAGGCCCCCTTGGGCAGTCATGGCCCCCCCCACCGTAGGCCAGTCCCTGGATGGAGAAGCTGTGTACCTTCACGGGGTGAATACTGATCCCTTCATCCGCATATTGAAAGGGAGGTCTCTGGCGGCTTTCTGCCTGACGGAGCCAACCAGCGGCTCGGATGCAGCCTCCATCCGGACCACGGCAGAGGTCAGCCAGTGTGGGAAATTCTATACCCTGAACGGTAGCAAGATGTGGATCAGGTGAGGCCCCTTCAGAGGGGATCGGGGGCCTTTGAGGGCTGTCAGGGAGGTCACCGGTGCTCAGCGAGCTACGCTGGCAGAGAGAGGACAGACTTCTCTGGGTCAGGGCTCTCGGGAAGGCAGGGACCCCAGAAGCCACGTGTCCACAGCCCTCAGCCTGCAGGGGAGGAAAAACCCACACAGAAAGAGAATCTGACTTCCCTGGGATCCTCATGTGCAGTGGGCAGAGCGCTGGGTCTGGAGTCAGGAGGACCTGAGTTCAGATTTGGCCTCAGATACCTACTAGATGTAGGTCCCTGGGAAAACCACTTAACCTCTGCTTGCCTCAGTTTACTCATCTGTAAAATGGGGATAATAGCCCCCACCTTTGCAGAATTTTGAGGATCAAATAGGATAATATTTGTAAAGTGCTTAGCACAATGGCTGGTATATAGTAAGCACTTAATAAATGCTTCTCACCCCCCTCCTCCTGGGGACCCTCAGACTCCCAGTGACCTCATGTTGCCCCAAGCCCCTACAATAGTACAATGCCTTTCCCAGTATCATTTCCATCCTCCAGAATTACTTGTCTCCCTTTCCTCTTTCAGACCCCTAGTATCAAAACACCCATCCCTATGGTACAGATGATTTTAGAAGGGATGGATTGGACAAAGGCCCTATGATGCCTCCTAGAAGGAGGCACGAACTAGCCCACATGGAGGGATTTCAGGCAGTGCTAGGGAAGTCTCAGGGAGGGCCCCAGGGCAGCAGGCACCAACCCTGAAGGCCTACTCTGGGCCAGCCCTCCCTCAGGGCCCCCCAGGTATCCCCCCATCTGCCCCCACCTCCCCTAAACTGCCCCTGCCTGCCCGAACTCCCTCATCCATGACTCTACCTCAGAGCCCACAGCTTCCACGAAAGGAGCTCAGGAATCACTAAGTCACTAGCTAGGAATCGTCTTGGCCCGTTTTTGTTGCTAGCCTGGCCCCTGGCTCCTTTACCCTGAGATCAGCTCCTCCTGTGGGCACATTGGCAGGTCCAGGTGGGGCAAGAAGCAGCCTCACAGAGCATGGTGGGAAGTATCTGGGTGGGGTAAAGACTCTCTGAATGGCTGGGACAGTGACAAAGTGGAAGGGTCTAAAGTGTGGGAAAGACAGCACTCCGGCTGCTTTAGCTAGCAATCTAAGAAGGGTGCACAGGAGAAGGGAGGAGGGAAGAAAAGGAGAGTGGAGAGAGGAGGAGGAGAAAGGGAGGGGGGAGGAAGAGGAAGAAGAAGAAGAAGGGATAGAAGGTAGAGCACCGGCTCTGGAGCCAGGAGGACCTGAATTCAAATCCAGCCTCAGACACGTGACACTTACTAGCTGTGTGACCCTGGGCCAGTCACTTAACCCCGATTGCCTCACCCCCTGCCAAAAAAGAAACACAAGCATTAGAAAGGGTAGGAGGAAGTGAAGGGAAGAGGATGTAAGTCTGACTGCAACAATATTCTTGCCTCCAAGCAACGGCGGGCTAGCCGATGTCTTCACGGTATTTGCCAAGACAAAAGTGAAGGACGTGACCACAGGCGAAGAACGTGGAAAAATCTCGGCCTTCATCGTAGAAAAAGGGTTTGAGGGCGTGGCCAGGTAGGACCGCTCTCGTCCTCAGAATCCCCGGCTGCTGGCCTCCCCTTGGAGGCTGTGTCTGCCAAGGCTGGCTCTGAGGCGTTTTAGAGATGTGTTTGCCGGCGGGATGGGGCAGTTATATTTGGGGGACAGAGCGCAGGCTCATGAGGTTATGCCCTGCTTTTCTCTCTTCCATGAAGGTTGAGGAGATGAAGGTCTTCAGTCCATTGTATAGACAGAAAAACACTTGGTTCTCCCGGACATGACAGGAGGACATCAGTATAGCCCACTTCCCACAGAGGCCCCTCTGCATCGAGCCCCACATCCCTGTCTTCTGTGCCTCTCTGTGGGGATGCTGGGGGTGGGGGGATCGCCCCAGAGGGAGAGCCTTACATCCTGTAGAACAGAAGTGCTGAGCATGTTCTGTGGGGAGCTAAACAGTCACTCCTTCTATAATTATGGGGACAGAACAGGGTGAGCGTGGACGGCCACGAGCTCAGAACCTAGCGCAGACTCCAAAGCTCTTGTTGGCTATTGGAAAAAACACGTGGGTCACTTAAACCTAAGGCTTTCCTGGCCTGGCAGCCCTTGGCATCAAGGCCCTGTGTCTAACCCAGGCCTGCACACCGTAGGGGCCGCAGGCCGCCAAAGGATTTCAGGCGGCCCACAAACAACGCAGAGGATCTAAAAGAAAGTAAAGCGTGCTTTTTCCATGGCCCGCTTAACCCGTCTTCCACAATCACTGTTCCGCCCGGGTGGGTGGCCACTGCACCCTCTCGTCTGCTAGTCACGTGACCATCGTCAGTCAGTGTCTAGTCTGAGAGGAACGAGAATCCTATCTTTTCTATGCATTTTCAGTTGTTACTAGATGTAAACAGTAAGAAAACCTGAAAAATGTATTAAGACTTGTACCACTTAGAGAAGTAATGTTTTTTTTAAGCATTAATGTGGTTTCATGATAACTAAAAATCTTAATGAATAAGTGTAATTAATTGATATTAATTGAAATTTCCCTTTTTAAAAATATGGTTTCTTTGCAAAATAGTTTAATCATTAATTATACCTTTACTTGGAAAATGAGCTGCTAAAAACCTGTCTGCGGCCTGAAGAAGTTTATCCTATTTTAAGTTTGGCCCCCACCTACCGCCAAGTTGTGCAGGTCTGGCCAAACTCATGTAATGAAATGGACCTGGAAAATTAAAGAAATCATTGGATAGATGTAGACAATGAAACTGGGTCATTGAATCATTGACCTTCAGACTTGGAATTATGGGCTGTCTGTCTATACTCGTTAGCTAGACAAAATACCAGTCTCCCACTTTGTGCCATGTAGACACAATGATTGGAGAGGAGCATTAAGATGAATTATGGATGAATGGAGACAGAGGTCTTGTGGGGAAATAGTTACTGGACTTGATGGGTTTGTAGAGGGGAGAAGGGAGGAAAGAGGGTGTTAGCTTGGGGAAAATGTGTGCTTGTTTTTTCTCAGTGGTCCACCAGAGGAAAAGATGGGCATCAAGGCCTCCAACACCACCTCAGTCTCCTTCGACAATGTGAACGTGCCCACTGAAAATGTGCTGGGGGGCTTTGGGAATGGCTTCAAGGTCGCCATGAACATTCTCAACAATAGCCGCTTTGGGACAGTCTCTGCCCTGGCGGGTACCATGCGTAGAGTGATCAAGAAAGCGGTGAGCCGGTGGGCCCATCAGTGGTGAAGGTCCGGGCAGGTCAGGCACTCCTCGGAAGGAGTAGAAGTGCACCTCCACCAGGGGGAATCGAGACGTCAGCATGACTTGTGAGGTGGGAGTCAGAGCTGGACGGGACCTCAGAGGGCAGTGAGTGCAGCCCTCCATTTTAAGAGGAGAAAACAGAGGCTCCAAGACGGAGCTGGAAGAGGCACCCCAATCCTCTCGACTCCTCCTTAGGTCAATTCTGACAACTGACAAACAGGCTTGAAGTTAGACCCCTGAGTCGCCTTGAGTTGAGGGGAATGCTCGTTGCTCCTGGACCCAGAGCCTGAAAACAGCAGCCGGGAGGATTCGAGTTTAGCTGAAGGAAAGGGAGGGACCCTGAGTCCCTGTCATTGAAGGATCCACTGAAGGAAGTGGGGGTGTGTGGCCTGGAGAAGAGAAGAGTCAGGGGCACGGTAGCTGTTTCCATGTCTCCAAAGAGCTGCTGCACAGAAAAGGGACTAGACTTTTCCTGCGTGGCCTCTGAGGACCAGGAGCCACGTTGGAAAGCCACAAAGAGCTGAATTTAGGGTTATGGGAGGGGAAACTTCCTCTCCCTGAGAACGATGCCAGAGTGTGATGGGAAGCCTGAGGAAGTGCTGAGCTCCCCATCCCTGGGGGTCTTCCAGGGAAGGCTGGATGGCCTCTGGTCAGGTACATTAGAGATGGGGCTCCTTTGCCATTAGGCATTGGACTAGGGGCCACCAAGATCCATGCTGACTTGAACACTGTGATTCTATGAGTTACTGGGGTGTGGCGTGGGGGCTCAAACTCTGGCACTGCTGCTTCCTGCCTTGTCACCCGCCCCCATGGGCCTCAGTTTCTCATCTGCAAAATGAAGGGATTGGAATGGATGACCTCTAGGGTCCCTTCAGCTCTAAGTCATAGATGGTGGGAGCTGGACAGCTCTGAGGGGCCAGTGGTCCACTCCGCTGACAAGGTGTCTCTGCTGCTCTGGGCTTGCAGACATGGAGGTGGAAGGCTCTCTTTGCCCTCTCTTTCCACTCACCCTTCACAGCCTGTACTTTACCCCTCCTCAAGCCAACGTGGAGGAGAGACATGAAGGGAGAGCGTGCCCAGCTCTGTCCCTGCAGGCGAGGGGCAGCCTCTGATCCCAGGCACACCCTGTGACCATCAGGCTCTCAGTCATGCACTGGGCTGTGTGGCCAGGACTAGGAACCTTCAGGTGCTAACCCTTACTAGCTGTCACTGCTGGGGTAGCTACTGCTCCCTAAGCCTGGCTTCCTCTTCTGCAGAATGGGGGTGGTGACCCTACTTTATAAGGGTGACCCTGCGGAAGTCCCTTCATCCTGTTTGCCTCAGTTTCCTCTTCTGTAAAATGAGCCAGAGAATGAAATGGCAAACTACTCCAGTATCTTTGCCAAGAAGACCCCAAATGAGGTCGCAAGAGTCGGACACAACTAAAAACGACTGAATAACAGCTATGTACGAGGCGCTAAGACTGAGCAAGGGCACACCAGCATTTTAGAGAAAGAGGCTGCTCAGGGTGTGGCCCTACTGAGTGACTCCTCGGCTCATTCATTTTTTAGTGGGTGGTGCTGTGTGCCAACAGCCAGGAGACCCGGGCTCCTGGTCCTGCTAGAACCACTTACCAGCTGAGTGACCCAGATCGGGTCCTACATAAAGGCGAGATGACGATACTCAATTTCCCTGGCCCACAAAGTCTCTCCCTACGTCCTGGGCATCACTCATTCTGGGTCCACATTGGTCAGGGATGGCTAGGTCCCCCCAGCGACTCTCCCTCCAAGGTAATCTTTTCATATAAATGCACACCACCTGGAATACCCGGGGAAAGAGCTGCTCCTCAGACAGGCTCCTCCCTTCTTGGCCCCCAGCGTCTGAGGGCTTATCCTTCTCTTTGCTCTCTCTCCTTGGGTGCCAGGCTAACCATGCTGCCAAACGGAAACAGTTTGGGAAAGAAATAGGCAATTATGGGATCATCCAGGACAAGCTGGCCCTCATGGCCATGTATCACTATGTCACCGAGGTAAGCAGCCAGATGGCCACGGGTGTGGGAGGTGGGGATATGAAGAATAAGAATGTGTATCCCAGGATATTTGATGGACTGACTGACTGAAAAAGGATTTATTAAGCACTTACTGTGTATCAAGTGCTGGGGATACAAATGCAGAAGACACCCCTGCCTTCAAAGGGCTTACATTCTAATGCTGTAAGACCACCCAGAAAGGGGCGGGACCCAGAGGCGTGGGGACACGGTAGTCCAGCAGCACATACTGTCTTCACAACTCTTTATTCAACAAACTGATTAGACGTCTATGATGTGCATGTAAGGCTAAGGAGGAAGAAATGATCCAGAAACCCTCCTTGACCCCATGGAGCTCTCACTTGAGATGGGGCAATGAGGGAGGGACACAGATGGCCAAGCCCAAGGCAGAAAGAGAAGGGTGCCCAAGAGGAGGAGGGAAAGACCATGGGAGGGCGGGTGCTTCTGACTCGGGGAGACCAGAGTGGTTCCATGGAAGGGGTCACATTGTGGGGGAGGGCTTGAAGGATGGCTGGGGTCTTTCGGTAGAGATTGCACAGAGAGGGTGGAGGGAAGGAGATGGCAGGGGGAGAGAAGAGCATGGATGGATGGAGACACAGAGGCAGCAAAGGAGGAATGTTTGAAGAACCCATCAGGTAGAGGAGAAGGTGACCAGAGCAGGTGAACCATGCAGCCTCAAGGCACAGAAGAGCTGTCGCATGCAGGTGCCCGCGCTTGGCCAATGACCTCTAGATGTCTGCAGAGAGCGGGGGAAAGGGCAAAGGGTATCCCAGTTTCCCAAAAAGGGAAGACACTAGAGCCTGCCACCTCTGGGTTGGGAAGCGTGACTGTGAAATCCAGAATTCTAGAACCTATTTTAAAGAGATGCTCCCCACAAAGGAAGCAGTCATCACAGAGAGCAGAGCGTGCCCCCCAAACCTGGCTTCCTCCTTTGGCAGGGAGACTAAGCAGGTAGACTGAGGGGCGTGGTGGCCCGAGCTCACCTCGATCCTCTCAAATGCTGGTTGGGGGGACAAGATGCCCAGAAGGATCATGAAGGGTAACCATTGACGCCTTGATGTCAGCTTAGGACTAGGTCTAAAGAGGAGTGCATCAGGTCTCTGCGATGTTTGATGTTTTGGTCAATGTCTTGGACACAGGCAGAGAGAGCGTATGTAACAAACTTCAGCGACACAAAATTTAGAGGGCAGCCAACAGTCTGGATTACGGGCAGGATCCAAAAGGTCTTCACCAGCTGGGCTAATGGGCCAAATCTAATGAGATTACACCAGTAAGGAGCAAGGTGAAGCCTATCACTTGGGCTCAAGAAGTTCACCTCCCAAGGCCAAGACTGTGGAAGGATGTGCAGTTCAACTGAAGAAGATCTGGAGGTCTTAATGAACTGCCACCTCTGGATGATTCAGCAGAGCCCGATGGGAGCCCCAAAAGGGAATTCAATCCTGAGCTGCATTCAGAGGGATTGAGCTGCTCAGACCATGGAGGCGACTGTCCTGCTGTCCTCAGCCCTCGAGGGTCAGACCTCACCAGCAGGACTGTGGTCAGTCCTGGGCATCACGGGGAAGCAGGATGTTGAGAAGCTGAGAATGCCCAGAGGAGGTGGCCAGGATGGGGAAGGGCCTGAAGCAATGAAGTGATGACCTGCTGAAGAAGAAAAGACGCGGGGGCCGGGATGGCCGGGTCTGAAGGGCTGCCTGACCAGGACCAGGGTGGCGTCAGTGGCCCCGGAAGCCACCTCCATCGCCACACTTCTGTGATCCCGTCATTCATTGGCCTTTTTTCCCTGGCCACACAATCTGGCAAAAACGTGCACATCAGGGAACGGGAAGCATAGCTCTTGACCAATGAGGGAGGGAGATTGGGAGCCATAGCAAGCCTAGAGGTCCAGCAGGGTGGCAGCCCCTGGAGGTCTGCCGTGCTTGCTGCCTGATCTAAGAATGCAGCGTACCCCAGCATCCCAGAACCCGAGGCCGCTGGGCTGTGGCCGCATGGAATGTGAGCCGCAAAATGCTAGAAGGATGCAGGACAGAAACACAATAGCCCAGAAGCCGCCGCGAGCGCCGTTGCTTTCTCTCTCCTCCGGTCTTTTTGCTTTGCGTACGCCCTCTGGGAGCGCCCTCTTCTGGCTACACCTCTGCCTCTCCTTTCCTGCTTGGCTCTCGCGTCTGTCACTTCCTGTCTCCACTTTCTCTCTTCTCCATCCCCAACTAGCTCTCTCCTTCTCCCGCCCTCTCCCCCTCCGTCTCTCTTTTACTCTCTCCCTCTCTCTGTCTCCTCTCTGTGTCTCTCCCTCCCCCTCCCCCTGCCCTTCCTCCTCCTCCTCTTCCTTCTTCTCTCTCTCTCTCTCTCTGTGTCTATCCTCTCTCTCTCTCCCTCCCTCTCCCTCTCTCACCTTCTCTGTGTCTTCTCTCTCCTTATCTCCCCCTCATCTGTTTCTGTCTCTCTTTCCCTCTCCTCCTCCTCCCCCCCTTACTTAACTGATTTTAAGTTGAAATACATCAGATTATAAGCAAGTGATGGACTCAGGGTGCAGATCAAAGCACATGTTCTTTCTTTCCTTCTTTCCTTCTTCCCTTCTCTCCTCCCTCCCTCCCTTCCTTCCTCATCCTTCCTTCCTCCCTCCCTCCCTTCCTTCCCTTCCTCCCTCCTTCCCTCTCTCCCTCCCTCCCTCCCTTCCTTCCTTCTTTCTTTTTTTTTTGGAAGTGGCTCATGTAGGAATCTGTTGTGTATGACTCCATGTTTTTGTAGTGGGTTCTGTTTTTCTTGCCTTCACCGTGGGTAGGAGAGGTGAAGAAGAAGGAGAGAATTTGGAACTGAAAACTTAAATTGAAAAAAAGAGAAATCTATCTAATTATAGGTTGTGTTTCTCAAATACTGTTTTATATTCCATTTCCTTACCTTGGAAATCAGGTACCTTTAAAAAAAATCACTGGCTTTCTATTTATGTGGACCTCAATTTTTTTTCTGTGTGACTTAGTGTCACTAAACTTCTTTTTAAAAGTTCCCCAAGTCTTGCGCTAGACCTTTCCCAACTGTCATATTTGGTGAAGAAAAGTGAAGCCTCAGGACATGAGAGGGCCATGCTCTGGTCTGTGTAGCACTGTCCTTCGGGGGAGGGTCATCCTTGTCCTGACTGTCCCCAGAAGGGAGAACCAGTAGCAGCCGGGGGAAGTGCAGATAGGCAGACTGGGCTCCAGAAAAGGGGACTGTCTGCTGTCCGAAGAGGAGGCAGAAGGTCCCTGGAGAGGACCTTCAGGCCATGGCGGACCACCCTTCTCTAGGTCATGGTGGCCTCAAGGATTCTCAATAGGTCTGGGTTGGACCTGACACCCTGAGCCCCCGCCCAGCTCTCCAGGTCTCAGAGTCAGAGCTTGCTTGGAGCTTTACCCCTTGTCCATCAGCCCTCAGTTGGCACTCTGAGGCAAATGTGCTCTTCTCCCGCAGTCAATGGTTTACATGATCAGTGGGAACATGGACATGAAAGTCTCAGATTTCCATCTGGAAGTGGCCATCAGCAAGATTTTTGCTTCCGTGAGTATATTTGCTTGTGATGGGCAGGAGTCATTCTGTCACTGATGCTATGTGTGGGGCCATAGGGGCTGCCAGGGAAACAGAGACATGGCATCTCCCCTCAGAAGGGGGGGGCAGCCTACCTGCGAGGCCCCACCCATCCACAGGCTCTCCTAAAGGGAGAGCCCAAGGCAGAGCAGCTGTAGACCAAGGGCCTGGGGGGGCGGGAGTTGAGCACTGGGCTAACCTGGGGTGCAAGGGGAACAGAGACATGGGTCTAAGGACCACTGGTGCCCAGGAGGAGGCTCAGTCATGATGTTTCAGGCTAATGGGTCAGAGGGACACTCAAGGGAAATCTTGTCCATTCTCCCACAAGGGGGACTGGATTTCCAGTAAGTCCTAGGACCTGGGTTCAAATCCCAAATCTGCCACTTATTCCCTCCATGACCTTGAGCAAATCATTTCACCTCCAGCCTCATGTTTGTCATCCCAAAGAACCAGATGACCTGAGGTTTTGGAGGGTGACTGAGCTGGCAGATGTCTCAGAGGTCAGCTAGGCTGGTGTTGAAGCAGTGGCCCTGCCAGCTCTAACACTGACCTATAGGCTGCATTTGGAAAGGGCAGGATGACCTCTCCCTCCCCCACCCCAGACAGGGGGTGGGAGGGGCGGGGAAGACCAGCCAGGGCCTTATTCTAAGAGGGTCAGGCTGGAAGAGAGTCAGGCAAAGCAGCCTCAGGGGCATGTGGGACCCAGGAGGCTGAGCCCAGGGTGCAGAGGTGGGTGTAGGAAGGGGCCGGCTTGTCATGCCCCATCCATTGCAGCAGCGTCCAGGCTCCTTGACCCCCGATGGACCTGTTTGTTTGTTTGCTCAGGAGGCTGCCTGGGAAATCACTGATGAGTGCATTCAGATCCTCGGAGGAGCTGGCTACATGAAGGTGAAGCTCTGGACCCCTCTGTCAGCAGACACGGGGGAGGGCAGGGATGATTCCTTTGGGTTGCTGTACACACACACACACACCCCACACGTACACACATACACACACATGCACACACACGTACACATGTACCACATGCACACATGCACGCATGCACACACATGCTCAGGTGCACACATCCATAGAGCCACACCGCAATCCGCCGTCCATCTTGGCTCACCAGCCCTCTCAAGATAAGATGGGCAGACACGGAATTCTCTCTGTGTGTGTATACTCACTAGTATGCACAGTTCACAAGTGTGCATGTGTTCACATATGTGTGCCTGTGCACACGCTGTGTGCATGAGGAGGTGACATGTTGGTGACCATCTGGGTGCTTCTCAGAGGGCGGCATCGAGGATGAGTCCTGAGGGGCCAGGACGGCTGGGCTGGGAGGCGGGAGATCTCCAAGGCACTGGGCATCGCCAGCCTGGAGTAGAGCAGGCTTCATGGGGCCAAGGCCTGCTTGTCCTGCTTGGCCCCTGAGGGCAGACACAGGAGGCAACAGCTGCAAAGAAGCCAGCTTAGACTCCTGAAAGAGAACCCTTCCTTCCCATTAGAGCCCTAGAAAAGTGGATGGGACTGGGGGGGGGGTCACTGACTGGGAGCTGTGCAGCATGTCTTTGCATGCATCAATCTGAGGCTCGCTGAAGTCCCCTGACAGCTCGAAGACCCTGGCACCCCGATGCAGAACAAATCAAGCCTCTCCCCAGGCCCTGAGCTTCCTATAGGCACGGGGATCAGGATGGAGGGAGCCTGGCCTGGCTGGGAGCCATGGGGATGGACGACCCAAGGAAGCGGCCTAAGCTTCCAACAAGGGAGGGACCGGGAGTCAGGGCCCAGACACCAGGCCAAGGTCTGGTCTGCTGGGAGGCCCAGAGGGCCCCAAAAGAAGTGAGGTCAAGAGTCCCTGGGAAGGGAACTGGGTTCCCAAGCCACGAGCAAAGAACAGGGAGCGAGCAATTAGCTTTCCAGACTGAAGCTGATCCCCAGAGAAGTCGGGAAGCTCCAGAATGGGGAGCGGCCAGAACCTCAGAGCAGCCGGGAAGAGGATGTTGGGCCTCCGATGCCAGGCTGCCCTTGGCCCGGCCCCGCCTGAAGGCTGGTGCCCAAATTCCCAGCCCGCTGGCCTCCCCAGGGATCCTGCAGCTGCTGCCGCTGCTGCTTCAGAGAGAGAACGTAGAAATCACAAAACGGGGCGATAACTCCCCGGAGAGGGGAGGGAGCCAGCGCTCAGAGCCTAAGCGGGGTCCACAAACGGCGGTTTCTCACGTCACAGCAGGGAAGGGCACTTGGCTGAGGAGCCGACTCCCCTCCCTCCACTGTCCCTTCGAGCCCGGGTTACTCGGCCACCTTTGGGAGGTGAGGACAAGGTCCAGACCCAGAAGGAGGGGAACGGACACCCCTTCCCCCAACCTGGGCTTCTCCAGGGCCCAGGCTGAGTCTCTGGCAATCAGAGGGGTCTCAGACAGGCAGGGCAGGCCCGCTCCTCTAAGATGCCCCTTCCTTCCCTTAGAAAGCCGGCGTGGAGCGGATCATGAGGGATCTTCGAATCTTCCGCATTCTCGAGGGTACCAACGACAACCTCCGGATATTCATAGCTTTGGCGGGTCTGCAGGTAACTCGCGCTCCCAGCCCTCCCCATCATTTCATCAGCGCGCAAAGCTCCCGGGGTGAAGGGCCCTCCCCTAGAGAACGTGAGGGTCCGTGTGAATCTGCACCTATCAAGGAGCATTTGTAGGCTCTCGCTGCGTGCCAGGCACCGTGCCAGGCACGGGAGACCAGAGATTGGCAAAGACCGTCAGAGGAGCTTGATTTCCGTTCCTGTTTTCATTCCATCCATTAGCACGCGGGGGCCCAATTACAGGAGCTTCAACACACCTTGGAAGATCCCTTGAACAACTCTTCCTTCCTTTTCACTGAACTTGGCCTCAGAGCGAAACGGTAGGGCCGGCGGGGCGGGCGGGGCTGGCGGGGCCGGGGTGGGGGGGCGCGGTGGGGGGGGGCGGGACTGGCGGGGCTGGCGCTGGCTTGCCGCTGTCCCCACCCACCTGGATGCGGGGTTTGGCAGAGATGGCGTGGGGGGGGAAGGCACTCCCCTCTGCCTCTCAGGGGTCAGAGCCAGAGCACACACCTCAGACCTCGCGGGGGCAAGGACAGAGATGAGAGAAAAGGGCCCCTCTCTGCTCAGGGAAGACATCGGGCACTGAGGGCTGGGTACTGTAGGACAGGAAACGGAGTGTAAGCCCTCTAAAAACAGCTCATCCTCATGGTGGGGCTGCTAGCTGTTAACGTGTCACCCTACCCAGTTAAGCAAGCACCGAACCAGGCAGAAGGCAAAAGAAATGGAATCCAAGAGCCTGCCCTCACGTGACTTACAGTCTAATGAAAGATTGAATTCGGATCCATGACACATTTCGTAAGCCCTCACTATTTTCAATGCGTACCTGAGTGGTAGAGATCAAACACAGAATAAGGCACGGTCTTTGTCCTCGCAGTCTCCTGGCGTGTAGGGGGAAAATGTCTACACACAGACAGCTAGAGTAGTTTTGTATCCGAGAGATTATTGGCACCATCTGCGTTGGGATAACAGAGGGTGGGAATCAACACACAATTCTGGGAAAGAATAGGTAAGCTCTTCCTATAAAAATTTAACTATTAAAACAATGGCATAAATTATTAATTAACCTCTAGTTAGTAATAAAATAATGAACAATTTCTAAGATTTAGAGAAATGCAAACCCCTGGACCCCTTTTTAGCTAAACTTCCACCTTACAAGTGTTTCTTAATCTAGCGCTGGCTTTCCACATTCTGCTTCAAGGAGCAGCTTCTACCCGAATGGAATTAATCTGGATGACCCATGACAGGAGCCTGCCAGAGCTGATTTAATCCTTGTTTTCTTCTTCCAGCATAATAGGGATACCAACAGGCATTTCCCTTGATGGAGTGGTCAGTGAGCACCTGCTGGACTCTGCGAGCCTGGTAAGATTTTCTTTTGCCACGGGGCAGCTTCTGAACAAGTTTGGGATCTTCCCAACCAGACCAGGAAAGCCTGGCAGGCCCATGCGACTGACTGGAGCTAGCTACCTCACCTGCGTCACCCTTTCCGGACCCCTGAATCTAAAGCCATCTCCTGGACTCTGTCTAAGCTTTCCAAATGCATGCTAGCTGCTTCTCTGGTGACTTTTGCCCTTGCCATGGATCAGGCCAGGGATCGAGAGCCCTCGCCCACTGTCCCAAGGCCATCCCTTCTAGAACACAGTCCCCTCCTGGCTGGGCTCTTCTCCAATCCTGAATTCTCCTCAACATCCATGTTAGCCTAGAGGCTTGTCAGGGGAGACTCAGAGGGAGAAGATAAGGCTGGTTGTAAGCCCCGGCACACCGCTTCAGGGAGGGAGAATGCCAGGTTCAGTTTGGAATGGGCACTCACTTGTCCAGACATGTAAGGCCCACTCAGTGCTTCCTCCATCCATTTCAGGTCATTGGTGTGGCCATCATGCCCCTGAGCCTATTTCTCAGTTTTTACCACTCTCTGGATTCTTTTTTCTTATGCCATCCTTGCTTTAATATGCATCTTATCATATTTAGGATTCATCTCCTTCATTAACTCAGCAGTAATCCCTCTTTGCTCTGGATGTGCAAAGCAAGCTCTGGGGTCTCTGTGAGGCATGGGGGTCAAGGACAGAGTTGGGCTAATGAGCCATGAAGACTTGACCCCTGACTTGGTAGGAAGGCACTGCCGTCACCCACTTGGGAGATCAATTGCCCTTTGGGGAAGTGTGGGCTGGTACAGAGTCCCCCGCTTGGTCATCAGGAGTCAACAAGCTTTCATCATTGAACAGTGATGGGGGACGTGGAAACTTCATCGAATAGAAGCTGCCTAGTAAGGTGGTCAAGGCCCCCGGTTGGACTAATGTGGATGGTGCCCCCAGTAGGCTGTCATGTTCAGTGTCCCGAGAGGGCTTAGATGGACGGTGGCTCAGGTGGGCTAACATGGGGAAAGCTAAAGTGGATGATGCACAGGCCATGAGAAATAGCAGTGCTGCTCTTCCCCAGGTAGGGCCTCTTGGTTACTGTAAGAAAGAGGTCCCCTGTGTGGCGATCTTTCTCATACAAAACCTGTCCTGACAAACTGACATCCTTTCCTTTCCTCCTTTAAAGGTGACCAAATGTGTGGACTTGCTTTCAGAGGCTGTTGAACACCTGCTCTTAAAATTTGGCACCCAAGTGACCCGTACGTCCTCTCACTTTTGTGTCTTGCATTGCTCACCCTTGTTCTGGGCACAGTTCAGGCTCTGACAGTTCTTGAAACTTCAGAAAGATGATTTTTTTAAACAAAAAGGGGAAAGTATTCTCTTCCTGCTCTCCATACAACATTCACTGCCCCTTCTCTGCCTCCCCAAAGTCATAAACTTCTCTGGTTCCCAGAGCTCCAGTGGCGGGTGCTTCCCAGCCCTTCAGACCCGCCGAAGTGGGGAGGAGGAAAAGAGAACAGGGAGGAGGGGAGGAAGAAGGAGGCAGGAAGGGGGAGAAGGGAAAAGGGGGGAAAGAGGGAGGGAGGGAGAGGAAGGAGGCGAGGGGGAGGAAGAGGAAGAAGAGAGCAGGGAGGAGCGAAGAGGGAGGGGAGGGGAGGAGGAAGGGAGGAGTAGTGAGGAGGGAAAAGGGAAGAGGGAGGGAAAGAGAGGGAGGTAGGGAGAGAGAGGAGGGAGAAGAGGAGGGAGAAGAGGGAGGGAGGGGGAGGAAGGAGGAGGGAGGAGAGCAGAGCAGGAGAGAGAGAGGAAGGAGGAGGGAAGAGAAAAGAGGGGAGAGGGAGAAGGGAGGAGGGAGGAGTCAAGGGCGCCTGTGCCTGCTTTGCTCTCAGTGGGGCAGCCAAGACCCTCTCGGTTCCCATTCCAGATCAGCAGTTTCACTTGAAGAGGATAGCAGATACAGCTATTGACATCTACTCTATGGGGGTCGTGCTTTCCAGGTATTGATGGAGGGGAGGGTGTGGGAGCTGGGGAGACTCACTGAGCAGCCGCTCTCAGAATGGAGGCAGAGCCCCTCATATGCACAGGCATGCGCATGAGCAGATGCACAGGTGCACGCACGCACACATGTGCACACGCACGCGCATGCATGCACACACATGTACACACGCTCTCTCTCGCTCCCTCTCTCTCTCTCTCTCACACACACACACACACACACACACACACACACACACACACACACCTCTCTTCCTCCCTTTGCCCACACATGGTGGTGAGGGCATGGCGTGGACACTGGGGAGGAAACAACAGTGTAATGAATCCCGGCTGCTCAACTCATTTCACCCAGCATTGGCTGAGCCTTTTTCGCGTCTTCAGTACTCGCTGGGGGGACAGAGAACGACCCAATCGCTGCTGCCCTCGGGGAGCTGCCATTCCCTGGCAGATCGCCGATGATGATTCTCGCGGCGGACCCAGAGCGAGGGCAGTCTTGAGGAAGGGCCCGTGGGAACGCCCACTCCTGGGGGACCCATACTCGTGGGACTCCGCGTGGCCTCAGGGAGGGGATCCAAGGCGCCGGCCCTTCCTGCGGCGCTTCTCACCAGACAACGTCAGCGAAGGAATTCAACCAGGAAAGAGACGTGGCAGCCACGCCAGGCTTTTGGCAGGTGTCTCCAGGCTGGCTCTGCAGGTGCCCAAGGCCTCTGTGCACCGCGTGCTTAGCGATCAGAGCTGGGTCCACGGCGTCCGTGCCTGCGCCTACATCTCTGCCATCTTCTTCCCTTCCGCCTGCTCCCACAAGCAGCTGCTTGGCCCCTCGTCCTCGTGGGCCGTTGCTTCGGCCGCACGAGATGTGCAGGCTCACGAGGACCGGGCTTCTAGGGTAGTACCGAGTGGCCAAAATAAATCTGAAGTCATGTCCGACGTGGAGAGCACCTAGCGAGGCTTCGTGGAAGGGGGCCCCCGGAACTGGACCTTCCAAGGAGCTGGGGTTTCCAAGAAGTAGAGATGAGGAGGGAGGGAGGGCATCGCAGGTGTGGAACACCACGGAGGCAAAGGCATGGAGGTGGAAGATGGGACATTGTGCACAGAAAACGGCAATAGGCCAGGTTTACTGGAAGGGAGTGTGTGAGAGCAGAAGTCACAGGAGGTCAGTCAGCTGGGAAAGAGGCTGAGCCAGGCAGGAGGGGCTTCGAAGGCCAGAGCAAAGAGCTGGTGTTTATCCTGCAAGAAATGGGGAGGGGGCCTCAGGGGAATGGCCTGGTCAGACTATATCCAGACTACCTTGTGGGCCCTCTCAAGTGCCACCCCGAGGCTGCCAGTGGGAAACCTGGGGCAGCCGGAATGGGGAAGACCCTCAAATTCTTGCTCTCTGAGCATCAGTCAAAGGAAGGGATGTTTAACCTGGACAAGGGAAACCTCAGCTGGACTTTCTTCAAGAATGTGAAGGGCAGTCATGTGGAAAAGGGATTAGACAGGGAAAAGCGATGGGCAGAAATGGCCAAAGGGCAGTTCTAAATTGGATGTCAGGAAACCTTGTAAAGGTGAAGTGGGCCTCCTCCTTAGGTAGTGAGCTTCCCTTCACTGGAAGTCTCCAAGCAGAGGCCAGGTGACCAGTCATAGATGTGCTTCACAGGCAGTCTCACCCCTGTATTGGCTGATTAGAAGTGTTAGGAGGTCCCTTACTGCTCTGAGAGCCTGGGATTCTACAAAGCTGTTGGGCACAAGGTCATGCCTCATTCAAGGTCAAGCGAGACCAGAGTCCCAAGTCCAGATTAGAGCTCTTTGCCTCACACCTCACCTGAAAATGACATCCCAGACGACCTGTGGACTTCCCAACAGAGCCAAGTCTGGAGGATGCCAAGAGCACTAAACTAAGGGGGCAGAAATGATCAAGAGTCCATGTGGGTCCCACCCCGGCTCTGCTGAGAGCCATTCTCTGGCAAGTGAAGGAGGCCAGGAGTTCAGCCAGTCCTTCCAGGCACCCGGCAATGGGCCTCACCACGGTCTAAGAACCTCCCTGATCCTGCCCCGGAAAAAATCACCTCTTCAGTCGGGGAGCAGCGTCTGCCTCACAGGTTGCCTGGCAGAGCGTTCAAAGCTCATCGAGTGCCCTTCCACTTGAACTGTGGCTCTGGGTCACTAATGTCATACAGGTCAGAAGTATCTCATGCCAACAATTTTATCTCAAAACGCCACCTCCTGCTGCTGAAATCTGACCACACACAGTACTTCACCTGTGGTACTCTGACCAGCACAACAGGACTAACTGAGTGATGCAGAGGAGAAGTTTCACTCTGGGGATTCATTGAACCGATCTAACCTCAAGAAAGTTCTCAGCCCCTGTGGGTAGATTGTCTATAAAAGATTTTTGGGAGGACGTAGACAAGAACCACCCAGCCTAGAAGGAGTTTGGAAAGAGTGCCCACAGAGATATGAGGGAGAGGCAGTGGGGAGGAAGAAGGGCACTACCCCCATATACACACTGGACACTCCCACTGTCTGCCTCTTGCTTGGAGAATTCTAATTCTAATCAAATCAGCTGCTTTTGGAAGAGTAGGTCAGAGACCGAACTCACCGTCCCAGGACAAAATTTCCTTCTCTGGCCACCACTCCCTTCTATGTGTTGCTTCCTCCTATTAGAATGTGAGCTCCTTGGGGTAGGGGCTGGGGCTGACTCCCTTGGCACACAGAAAATGCTTGGGTGCCTTTTTTATTCATTATATAATCAGAGAGCTTCCAGATCTCGCTTCATGGCAAGGACTGAGCTGTCCTTGGTTCATTCCCATCTGTGTGCATTTCTGATGTGGTCATGGAAGACACTTTAGTGCTCTGAGGCCTGCATTTCGCCATGGCTGGGGGTGACCAGTCCACTGTGCAGATGGAAGGCCCCTTCTCCATGTCTCTCCAGAGCTGTTGGCACTGGGACCCACCTTCCATTGTGGAGCCTTTTCGTGCTAAGCCAGCTTGACCTTCAGGAGGCAGAAGCACAGTTATGGAAGACATTGAATTTGTGCTTTCAAAAACAACCTACCTATGACTTCTGTTAACATAGGAGAATCAATAAACAAAGGCAGGTCCTTAGTGAAAATATCCAAGGAATCCCTAAGCTCTGGGAAGGAGTCCCTACCTCACAGAACCACTGATGGTAACCAGTATTGCCTCCATCTAATTGTTCTGTTCTCCAGCCTACCTACCCCCTCTCCATCTTCTCCATGAGAATAACACGAGAGATTAGCACAGGCTGAAACACTTGGTTAACCTGCTCCTTTCCTCCACCCACACTCTCTCAGGATGGAAAAGCAAACCTCCATCAGACTCTGCTGATGCTAACTTTAATGCATCATGGCGGTCTCCAAGGGACACTGTGCTCTCCCGGGCTCTGGGAGGGAAGCCTGAGGTCAGGAGACCAGTCTGGCCAAGGGGAAGGAGCTCTTCACAGGTGGGCTGCATGAGAAGCCTAGCGCGACAACACCAGGGGCTGGGTTCTGGCTCAGCCAATGGAAGCCCAGCACTGGGGAGCACTGAGGCATGTGGAACCTTCCCATCCTGACTGGATCTGGGGGCTCTGTTCGTTCTAGGGCAACGCATTCACTGAACCACAACCTCCCTTCAGCCTTACATGAGAAGCTGCTGTGTGAGTCCTGGTGCTATAAGGTAGGACAGGCTTCCTTTGCCCCAGCCCCACCCGCTGTCTGTTGTCTCTCCCTTCAAAAAGTGGGGTTCATGCTTTGGCTTCTTCTACAAAATAGTCCAGGCTCCCATGATTTCAAGGGGCAGGGATGCAGGTCAGATGCAGCTCCTTTCTAAGAGATCCATCTATGAGTGCTGGTGAGGCCCCCCTACGTGCCCTACGTGCCAGAAACCATGCTAAGTGCTTGTAAGGACAAAAAGGAGATAGCCCCTGCCCTCAGAAGGCTCACACTCAATTATAGGAGATAGTTACATATAAAAGTATATATGAATATAAATGGACTATAAGATAACTAAATCCAACGACAAGGAAGGAAGGAATGCGGGGGAGGAGGAGGATCAAAATGGTGGTCCTTGCAGGGCGGCCTAAAGAAAGAGGAAGATGCTGGTAACAGAGGTGTCAAACAATACCCCTGAGCACAGCCTAATGACAACGTATTTGGGAAATGTTTAACAAAATAAGTGAAAATACAAAATAATGGGGCAGCCAGGTGGCACAGTGGATAGAGCTCTGGCCCTGGGGTCAAGAGGACCTGAGTTCAAATCCGGCCTCAGACACATGATATTCACTAGCTGTGTGACTCTGGGCAAGTCACTTAACCCCAATTGCCTCACCAAAAAAAAGAAAATGCAAAACAACACAGAAGATGCAAATTTGTGGTTTTTAAGTCAATACATGGCCTGCATTTCTGTTTAAGTCTGACACCACTATTGTATGAGGAGGGACACACACACACACACACACACACACACACCCGCACGGAGGGGGCAGATGCCTGCATTCCTCGGAGAGCAGAGAAGGCCAGTTTAGTTGAATCCAAGGAGGGGGAATCATGTCCAATGAGGCTGGAAAGACTGGCTGGGCACAGGTTGGGTAGCTTTTAATAAACCTGCTCTGAACCAAGAGATTAGAACCTCCTGCCATGAGAGGATTGAAGTTCTGAGCTGGCTGTCTTCCCAAGAGAAATGGGTGCTTGGTGTGCATATGCACGTGTGCGTGTGTACACACTTGTTTATTGACATGGTGGCTAATGTTAATTAACAGACTATGTAAGCAGTTTAGCTGCTGAGCTGAGAGGGCATGGGGGGGTCTCTCTCTCTCTCCTTTAGGCCTCTGAACGTGTCCGATGGAATCTCAAGGCGGTGAAAGCCTCGAGTTGGAATTGCTACTACCAGAACATGAAGTCTATCGCTGACGCAGTTGTGAGGACTGGAGGAGTCCTATATCCTCGCCCCATGGGCTTCTGAAAAAGGATTCATTTCCCGAAGTGCACCTGAGGCTGGACTCCACCCAAGCACTTAAAGAAGCTAGCTATATAATAAAATTACAGGTTCTTATCTAGGCCATTGGCTGTGAAAAACTGAAGCTCAAAATCCGGACTGCGGTGCTCAAGTCTTGGGCTTTCTGGGTGTTCCCGCTCAACAAGCCCCTCACTTGGAAAGCACTGTACTAGGTGCTGCAAAATGCCTTGGAGGAGCTGAAAATGAGGACATTTCTTGGATTCATTTTGCCTCTAAGCAAAGTTTCCTTTGGGAACATTAGAATTTGACTCATATCTGGATTTCTAAAACAAAAAAGAGCCCTTAGCTCCCATGCAAGCACTCAGGCTGACAAAGCATTAAATAGAGGACAGGCTTTATTTAGCCCAACAAAAAAATGCACAGGATTCAACACTCAAACATAGAAATTGGCCAGACAACTCTCCTACCCCATCTGATTTGTCCACCTTCCTCAGGTATTTTGAATGGTGATCAGGGCTTAGGGTCTTACCGTGGGGTTGAGGTCCCCCTAAAAAGGGAAAGAGCTCGTGATTGCTCAGGATTAAATTAATCTTCTGTTGAGCTGCACCTCTCAGGGATTTCCTGCGTCACCCGGATTTAAAGTAGCACCCTGAATGGAGCACTTCCCCCATAATGGAGAAGAACACTCAGGGTCCCCTAGGTCAGCCCCTTCCCCTTGACCTGCACAGCGCTCAGGAAAGACAAGAGGAGTTGCTGCTCCTCACTGAGGCTCTGTATTGTGTCTCACTGCGGCTCCAATGCCCACTTAGTCTCAGAGGCCTTCTCTTTGGTCCAGGGACTCCTCTTCCCCACCTGCCACAGAAACAAGCCACGGGGTGTATCTCTGCAGCCTCCCACTGGTCTCTCTCCCTCTCTCGCCTCCAGTCTTCAGCTCCCAAGAGTATGGCTCAGGCACGAGAGAGGCAGCACGGGGGAAGAGCGCTGAGACTAGAGTCGGATGGTGCTGCCTCAGCCCCTGCTTCTGCCTCTGGGCTCTCAGGCAGCAGGAGCAGGTTCGGGCTCAGATCCACCTGCAAGGCCTAGAGCACGTGACATCATTAACCTCTGGGACCTTCGTTTCCTCCTCTGAAAATGAAGGCATAGATGAGTTGTCTTCTGAGGTCCTTCCAGTCTGGATCTGCACATGACCTCTCCAGACCTCTGCTTCCTCACCTGTCAAGTGGAGGTGGGGGGGTATCAGACAGCGCACACTTATATAGCGCCTTCAGTTACAAAGATGATCTCTGAGGTTCCTTTCCCTTAGATCCATGGCTCTAAGCCCTCTCGGCCTCAGTTTCCTCATCTGTAAAGTGGGGGGTGAGAGCAGGGAAGACTAGAAGACCTCTGAGTCCCTCTCAGCTCTCTCAGTGTCTGACGCTGCTTTCCTTCACTTTGTCTCCCCAACAACATGATGGGACCAAGCCTGAAGCATCCCTCCTCCCCTGCCCTCGGGCTGTGACCCACAGGAGTTCAGCTCCTACAGGCCCCTCTCTGAGGGTCGCTGGCCTCAAATCCCTTGCAGGATTCCAGAGACCACCAGAGGATTCTCTGGCCTCCATTGTTCCACTGGCCAACAAAGAGCCCCACACGGCTCGACTCTGAAAATAAAAGTGCCTTCTCCAGAGGCCGAGGGACGGAGGGGCCCCACGGAAGCTGCCAAGGCCTCGTCCCTCCTGATCAGCAGGTTCTCTTTTGTCCAGAAGAACTGAGGGCTCTTTGAGGGCCCCTGAGGATGCAGACACTGGAGCCCTGTGAGGGATGTGCCCTGCCCGGGACGCCCCTGCACACTGGGCCATTCTCTGAGAAACCCAAGAGCATGACCGCAGCAGCAGCAGCCTGACAGACTGTGGTTTGGTTCGGTTTGAATGGAAAGACAAATTTCCAAAGGGCGGATTGCTCACCCAGTCCTTTCTGCATGGTGGTGAGGCCACTTCTGGACCTTCGTGGGACCGGGCCTCTACCTGTGACAGGCCTTTCTCCATTCATTCATTCAACCTTAACTCAGTGCAAGGCCCCACATGAAGTTACTACAAATCATGAGAACTGTACAGATTTCTGGGTTGATTCAAAGTCTTAAAAGTGCTTCCTTGAGACAATACTGGGTATTCTTCCAAGTTATTCTCTAGGGACCTCAGAGACCAAGGGACTTGCCTATGGTCATACAGCTACTAAGATGCAGAAGCAACACTAGAACCTAGCTCTCCTGACTCTCCTCTGCCACCATTCCATCCACTTCAAGAGTATGGAATATTGTAAAGTCAGTCAGTAAACATTTATTAAGCCCCTACTATATGCCAGGCACTATTTTAAGGGCTAGGGATATAAAAAGAGGCACAAGACAGTCTCTGCCCACAAGGAGCTCACAGTCTAGTGGAGGAGACAACATGCAAGCAAATATATACAAAGCAAGCTATGGACAGGATAAATAGGAAATAACAGGTTTCTTATAGATAATGGAATTTTAGTTGAGACTTAAAGGAAGCCAGGGAGGTCAGTATTTGGAGAGAAGGAGGGAGAGCATTTCAGGCAGGGGGACAGCCAGAGAGAATGTCCAGAGCCAAGAGATGGAGGGTCTTGTTTGAGGAGCAGTCAGGAGGCCAGGGGCACTGGATCAAAGACTATGTGGGGGGTATAAGGTATAAAGAGACTGGAAAGGAAGGGGGACAGGTTATGCAGTATTTGATGATGGAGGTCAGAGGGAACCCCTGTAATTTATTGAGCATGAGAGCGACATAATCAGACCCACACCATAGGAAAATCACTTTAGTGGCTGAAAGATGGACTGGGATGGGGAGAGATCTGAGGCAGGCAGGACCCCTCACCCAGCAGCGATTGCAACACTCCAGCCATAAGGTGATGACAGTCTACACCAGGAAGGGGCAGGGTCAGAGGAGAGGAGGGGGCAATTGGAGAGATGGTGCAAAAGTGAAACTTACATGAAATCAAGAAGAGATAGTGGAGAGGTGAAACTGACAATATGCTGCAGAGGTGAAATCGACAAGAGATGGTTCACAGGTGAAATTGACAGGAGATGCTGCAGAGGTGAAATCAACAAGAAATGCTGCAGAGGTGAAATTGACAAGAAATGCTGCAGAGGTTAAATCAACAAGAGGTGTTGCACAGTTGAAATTGATAGGCTTTGACCATAGCTTGGACGTAGGGGTTGAGAGAGTGAATCCAGGAAGTCCTGGGTTGGGAGAGCCTAAGGGTCTGGGAAGGTAGGAGGAGGGGAGGGTTTAGAGGTAAAAGATAACGAATCCTGTTTTGGACATTTTGAGTTCAAGATGTCTACTGGACGTCCAGTTTGAGATGTCTGAAAGGCAGTTGTAGATGAAAGAATGAAGGTCGGCAGAGAGATTGGGGGCAAGATAGGTAGATTTGAGAACCATCAGCTCAGAGATGGTCATTAAATCCATGATGAGGTCACCTGGTGAAGGCATCTAGAGGGAGAAGAGAAGAGGGCCCAGGACAGACTCTGAGGGTCACCATGGTTAGTGGGTATGATCTGGAGGAGGATCCAGCAAAGAAGACAGAGAAGGAGCAGTCAGAGAGGGAGGAGGAGAAAGGAGAGGCGGGGTAGGGAGGAGGGGGGGGAGAGGGAGAGATATCCTGAAAACCAAGAGAGAAGAGAGTAACAAGGAGGAGACAGTGATCCACAGTTCAAAGATGGAGAATGAGAGCTGAGAAAAGGGTTGGGACAGCCCTGTGAGGCACTGGATAAGGGTCAGGGGATGTGCCCCCAGGAATCTGAGCATGGTCCCGTGCTGTGGAGCATTTGTATCAGTGTCTCTCCTGAAAGCAGAGATGGGCTGCTCCTCTATTTTTCTTAATATTTTATTTTCCCCCAATTACACACAAAAATAATTTTTAACATTTTTAAGTTTAGAGTTATCCCTCCCTACCCTCCACTCTCCCTGAGACTGTAAGCAATCTGATATAGGTTTTACATGTGCAATCATATAAAACATTTCCATATTAGTTGTTTTGTGCAAGAAAACTCAAATAAAAAAAACAAACAAGAAAGAAAGAAAGTGAAAATAGCCTGCTTGAGTCCATATTCAGACATCAGTTCTTTCTCTAGAGGTGGATATCTTTTTTCATCAAGAGTCCTTTGGGATTGTCTTGAATCACTGTATTGCTGAGAATAACTAAGTCATTCACAGTAGATCATCATACAATATTGCTGTTACCATGTACAATGTTCTCCTGGTTCTGTTCACTTCACTTTGCATCAGTTCGTGCAAGTCTTCCCAGGTATTTCTGAAATCATTTTGCTTGTCATTTCTTACAGCACAATAATATTCCATTATAATCATAAACCACAGCTTCTTCAGCCATTCTCCATTCGATGACCATCAATTTTCATTTCTTAGTTTCCACAAAAAGAGCTGCTATAAATATTTTTTGTACAAATAAGTCTTTTCTCCTTTTTTTTCGGTTTTTAGGCAATTGGGGTTAAGTGACTTGCCCAGGGTCACACAGCTAGTGAGTATCAAGTGTCTGAGGCCAGATTTGAACTCAGGTCCTCCTGACTTAAGGGCCAGTGCTCTAACCACTGCACCACCTAGCTGCCCCAGCCTTTCTCCTTTTTTTAAAGATGTCTTTGGGATACAGACCCAGTAGTTGTATTTCTGGATCAAAGGGCATGCACAGTTTTACAACTCTTTGGGCATAGTTCCAAATTGCTCTCCAGAATGGTTGTATCAGTTCACCACTCCACCACTAGTGAATTAGTGTCCCAGTTTTCCCACATCCCTCCAACATCCAACATTTTCCTTTTTTTGTCCTATTAGTCAGTCTGATAGGTATGAGTGGTACTTCAGAGTTGTTCTAATTTGCATTTCTTTAATCAATAGTGATTTGAAGCATTTTTATATGATTATAGGTAGCTTTAATTTCTTCCTCTGAAAACTACCTGTTCATATCCTTTGATCATTTATCAACTGGGGAATGACTTGCATTCTTATAAATTTTACTCAATTCTCTACATATTTGAGAAATGAAGTTTTTGTCAGAGGTACTTGCTGTAAAAAAAAAATGTTCCCAGCTTTCTTTCTAATTTTGGTTGCATTGGTTTTGTTCTTTCAAAACCTTTTTAATTTAGTGTAATCAAAATTATCCATTTTATATTTGTAATGCTCTATATTTCTTGTTTGGTCCTAAATTTCTCCCTTATCCATAAATCAGACTATTCTGTGCTCTCCTAATTTGCTTATGGTGTCACCCTCTATGTCTAAACCATGTACCCATTTGGACCTGAGCTGGGTATACAGAGTGAGATGTTGGGCTATACTTAGTTTCAGTCATATTGTTTTCTAGCGTTCCCAGTAGTTTTTGTCCAATAATGAGTTTTTGTCCCCAAAGCTCAGATCTTTGGGTTTATTGAACACTAAATTACCATATTCCTTTGCTACAATGTATTGGGTAGCTACTCTATTCCACTGATCCACCACTCCATTTCTTAGCTAGTACCAGATTGTTTTGATAATTACCGCTTCATAATACAGTTTGAGATCTGGTGGGTAGGCTACCTTCCTTCACATTTTTTTAGACTCCGTAGATGCTCTTGACCTTTTGTTCTTCCAGATGAATTTTGTTGTTTTTTCTAGCTCTATAAAATAATTTTTGGTAGTTTGGTTGGTATGGCACTGAGAAAATAGATTAATTTAGGTAGAATTGTCATTTTAATTATATTGGCTTGGCCTACTCATGCCTGCTCATCAAATTTGCAGGTGACAGTGACGTGGGAAGGGTAAGTACAAAGTGGATGACAGAATCAGGATTCAAAAAGATCTTGACTGGATAGAAAATTGGGCCAAATCTAGTAAGATTAAAATTGGTAGGAGTAAATGGGAAGTCTCACCCCAGGTTCAAAAGAACCAACCTTACAAGCACAAGATGGAGGAGGTGTGGTTGGCTGGCAATTCATCTGAAAAAGATCTGAGAGTTTTAATGGACCATAAGCTCTGTAGGAGTCAGCTGTGTGATGTGGCTAATTCAATTTGGGACTGCATTAAAAGAAGCATCACTTCCAGAAATAATCTGTTATGTCATCTCAACCAGGCCTTTACTGTAGGGGGCAATCTTTCCCCTCCTCCCCAAGTGATTGTCTCTCGCATTCCACGTAGCTGCTATTGCCAACCTTCTCTTCTGGCCTCAAGCCTCCCACACTTGCCTGACTCTTCCTCCACCTTTGCCCCTCTCATATAATCAACTGTGAGTCAATGCCCACTCACTTCGCCTCCATCCTTGAGGTCCTCACCACCTTGGGCCTGGCCTGTCAAAATGGCGGCCTCAGCAGGCCACTCCAGCCTCCAGTCTCTCTCTCTCCAGCCCATCTCCCCCCAGCTGCCACACTGACATTCCTAAGGCACAGATCTGACCATGTCACTCCCCCCTCGTGAATTCAGTGGCTCCCTGTTGCTTCTGGCGTGGCATTTAAAGCCCCCCGCCCCCTGGCTCCTACCTACCAGGAGCTCTCTGGGTGAGGAAGAGGACCACTCTTCATGGACCACCACTCTCAGCACGCCCTTCTAGGCTGTGAGCAGGCACAGAATGAATGCTTGTGGCTGATTCACTGACTGGCCTCTAGAGCAGGGGAGTTGGGGTGTGCTGGTGTTTAACAAGTTGCTCTGCATTACCCACATCTTCTTCAATACTTGAAGTCTACACAATCAACAAAACAGGACATCAGACTCTGATTTACAGAGTTTGCCAACTTCTGAGGTGGAAATGCTCCCACTGAACATTTAATCAACGGCTCTCCCAAACTCCCAAAAGCTGACCCCCACAGGCAGCCTCCAGAGAGGCCCACTACCCCCTGGGCAGCTCCTTCCACTTTTGGACCACCCTTGCTGTTAAGGATTTGGGAGGATCCCCCCAAGGAGGAAAGAAAGGGAAAATATGGCATAGTGAAGGACTTCTGCACCAAAGGGGACTCTGAGCAGGGCCTTTACTAGTTAGCCATACCCATTCATCAGAACTGTACTGGCAGACACCCAAACCAGGTAGGGATGGCTGAGGAAATTGCTGGAAAGGCCTTCAGCCTGTCTGCACAACAGGTGACAGAGGCTCCAACGTCCCAGAACAGGGCGGCTGCAGCCCGTTCTGTCGGTCATGCTTCAGCCTCATTATTGCCTGGAGCCTGGGAGGCTGCTCAGGAGGAGCTGAGCCAGGCCAAGCCCATCCCCCTCCATCCTCTGCCACTTCACCAGGCTGCTTTCTTCAGTCAGTCAACATTTATTAGGGTCAGATCAAGTCAATTCAGATCAGTTCGACTCTATCAGCACTGATTTAGCACCTCCTGTATGCCAGGCCCTGTTCTAGGAATACAAGGAAAAAGGCGAGACACACCCAGGCAGGATGTCCAGAACTGGCTTTCTACTGGGGACAGAGGTGGGAGGGACAACACATCCATGTAATCAGTCCTAAGCACCAGGAGGTCATTACAAGAGGGAGGAATGGGGGGGGTGGGAGCTTGAGCCTGGACACTGGATCTCCCGGTGAAGAGCCCCACCTGAATCTCCAGTGACCCTGCTTGGACTCCAGATGCCTCTTCTCAGCCTCCTCCCTCCCCTCCCACCCCACCTATCATCCTGCCCTTTCCAGAATCACCAGAGCTCAGGAAGGTCCCTCACGGTCCAACTCCACTAGGAACAAAATCCCACCAACAACTGGTGCTTGGAACAATTCCAAAAGACCAGTGATGGGAAATGACGACCACACAGCCAGAGAAAAGGCCAGGGTCTGAATGCAGATCGAAGCAGACCGTTTTTACTTTTTTGTTGTTTTTTGTTTTCTTGTGGCTTTCCCCTTTTGTTCTGATGCTTCTTTCACAACATGACTAATGTGGAAATATGCTTAATATGATTGTACATGTGTAATCTCTAAAAGATTGGGGAGGGAGAAAAATTTGGAACTCAAAATTTTATAAAAATAAATGTTGAAAACTATCTTTACATGTAATTGGAAAAAATAAAATGCTATTAAGAAAAAAGATTTTAAAACTAAATCTGTGGATGTAAGCTATATCCAGATTATCTTAAAAAAAAAAACCCAACCCAATTGGCATGTGAAGACCTGTGGTGAGGGAGCCCACCCCTGGGGAGGCACTTGCTCTGCTGTAGCACCTGTAGAAGGGACCTCCCCTTTGCCACCAATGGCACCGGCTCTACCCTCGAGGGCTCGCAGGGAAATGTACTTCATCTTCTACCAGGCCGCCCTCGAGATGCTGGGAAACAGCTGTCACCATGTCACTCAACCAAGAAGCATTTGTGAAGCACCTACTATGTGTCTGCCGCCCCAGCGGAAGCCCTGAGTCTGCAGTCTTCTCTTTGTCCCCCCCAGGGTTTTTCTTATGCAGCCAAGCTTCTCCAGGTCCTTCAACCAAGCCCCCTCCCCTGCAGTCACAGGATGTTACAGCTACAAAGCACCTCCCTCCAATTATTTTGTCTGTTGTACAGATAAAGAAACTGAGGCCCAGAGAGGGGAAAGAACTTGCTCAACAGCACACGGCAGGTTTGTTGTCAGAGCCATGGCTTCAACCCAGGCGATGATGATGATGATGATGACGATGATGATGATGACGACAGCTAATGTATATGTATATTTACATGGAGAAAGAGACAGAGAGAAAAGGAAGGAGGGAGGGATGGAGAGAGAGTTAGAGAGACAAACAGACAGAGAAAGAGATACAGAGAGAGAGACAGAGGGAGACAGAGAGATAGAGAGAGACAGAGACAGAGAGAGACAGAGACAGAGAGAGACAGAGACAGAGACAGAGAAAGAGATATATATATGGAGAGAGAGAAGGAGAGAGAGAGAAGGAGAGAGAGAGTTAGAGAGACAAACAGATAGAGAAAGAGATACAGAGAGAGACAGACAAAGAGAGACAGAGAGAGGGAGACAGAGACAGATAGAGACAGAGAGAGAAAGATATATATATATATATATATATATATATATATCTAGAGAGAGAGAGAGAGAGAGAGAGAGAGAGAAGGAGAGAGAGATCTTTCGGGTCCACAAAGCATTTTACAAATATTGTCTTATTTAGTCCTCACAAAAGTTTGTGAGGTAGAGGATATTATTATCCCCATTTCACAGATGAGTAAACTGAGGCAGTCAGAGGTAAAGTCACTTGCCTAGGGTCACACAGGTAGGAAGTGTTTGAGACTAAATTTGAACTCAGGTCTTTGGAACTCCCAGTCTGCCATCCTGGTTCCTAAGGCCCCCAGCAGTTTCTTATGTCAGTGCTCTTTCCACAGGAACTCCAGGCCCTCCTCCACACTGGTTGCCCTCCTCTGGACGCTCTTCAGCTCCTCATGTCCTTCCCAGAGGGTGGTGCTCAGACTGATGGAGATCCTCTTGCTGTGACCCGGCCAGAGCAGGGAGTGGAAGGACTGGCACCAGCCTAGGCCTGGACACTCAGCTGTGTCACTAAATGCAGCCCAGACGGTCGCAGGCCACGTCCCACTCCAGACTCCTACTGCGCTTGCTGTCCACTGAAACAGTCAGATTGTTTTCAGATGAGCTGCTACCTCGTCTGGTCCTGGGAGTTCTGTGCGGGAGCAGGAAAGCCTAGTGGATACTGTCCTGTTCTCAGAGGCAGAAAGCCCTCAGTTGGAAAGTTGTCTCTGATAACAGTTACTAGGCCCTCTCAGCCTCAGTTTCTCCATCTGTAAAATGGTGGTTACGATAGCTGTATTAGGCTGGTTAAGGTAAACGTGGGAAAATGGACAGAAAGCGCTTAGCAAGTCTTGATCCGCAGTTTAGGCGTCTCCATTTGCTGTCATCTTCATAGATTCAGCTCATCCTTCCACATCCTGGGCAACTCCCTCTTCCCCGGGGTTAGCCAGCCCTCCCAATCGTGTGCCCCTCCCGGCCAGCTCTGGTAAGTACATCGTCTGGGTCTTTAGCCGCATGGTTGATTCAATGGTAAGCGGTGTAAGGTCAAAGACAGATCCCTGCGGTCCTTGGTGATGATTAATTATTAATTATTCGATCCATTCCAAAATCCACCTAACTGGGCTCTCCCCATCCAGCCACCTCCTGCACAAACCCCTCAGAGCAAGAGGGACATGGAGAGGAAGTGGCTTGACTTTTTTCAGGGTCACGTAGGAAAGTCCCCTTTGCAGACTCAAGTTTTTGTCTACACAGCACGCATCGGCATCATCTCTTCACTGTCCCATGACCCATTCCTAGTTCTTTGAATAAGGGTCTTATTCCTGTTCTTAGACATAGAGCACAAGTGAAAAACAAATACCAGGTGTCTGAAAACAATGAAGTCATCTTACATCACACTGCGGAGATTTGGAGTTTGGCCCGAGGCCTCATCTTGTGAGAATGAAATGGGAGGGCCTGTGGCCAGATGGGAAGGCTTTGAGTTGGCAGCCCATGAGCTCGAGGGACCCACAGAACAGTCCTTTGTCTTCCCTCCGGGAAACAGCTGTGAGAAAGAATGAGAAGGGAGGGAGGCCTAGAAAAAAGCCCCTGTTCTCGGGTCACCCACAGATCTGAACGGGAGGTGCGAGAGGACCTGGGATGGGGGCAGTATCTGTCAGAGCTTATAAAAGACCAGAGCAGAGCCCGCCCTGGGAACAGCTTCTCCACACTGAGCACTTGGCCAGCGCCCTCCAGAACCAGCCTGCGGACCACAGCAAAGGTATGCCTTTGTCAGTATGACTGAAAAGCAGGGCAGTAGGAGAAACTGAGGCGCTCCTCCTGCAGGACTGTTTGGCCTCCCTCTCCTTTCCCAGGAGACTGTCACCAGCCATAGTTCTGTCCCCAGGCACAGGGATCCCAGTCCTGGCTGGACTGTTGTGGTCATCCGAACCCCAATTATGACGAGGACGAGAAGCAGAGCGTGGGGAGAAAAACTGTCGATCCGTGAGGACGTTGGGGGTCTTTGCTGCCTATGATACAGAGGCAGTGCCATGCAGTCAAAAGAGCCCTGGCTCACAAGCCAGGGATCCAGGTTCAAATCCAACCTCTGACATTTATTACCTGAGCACGTCAGTCAGTCAGTCAGTGGATAAGAATTTATCAAGTACTTACTGTGCGCCAGGCGCCGTGCTAAGTGCTAGGGATACAGAAAGAAGCCAAAGACAGCCCCTGCCCCCAGGAGCTCACAGTCCAAAGGCAGGAGGAAACAGGCAATGATTGTGTACAGACAGGATAAGCAACAGCCACCGAAAGGAAGGCACTGAAATGAAGGGGACTGGAAAGGCTCCCCGCAGGAGCGGGGGCTGTAGCTGGGAACTGAAGGAAACCAAGGCTGGGCCCTGGGGAGGTGAGGAGGGAGTGCATTCCGGCATGGAAGCCAGCAGAGGAAATGTGGGGAGCCAAGGCGGAGCTTCTGGTTCGGGGAAGGGCCCGGAGGTCAGGATCACTGGGCCGACAGACGCTGCGGGTTGGGGGAAGAGATGCCACAGCCTATGGCATGGGGGGGAAGAACTTTAAAAGCCACCTGGAGGATCTTCCATTTGATCCTGGGGTAACAGGGAGCCCTTGGAGTTTATGGAGCAGAGGAGTAACATGGTCAGAAGTGGCCGTCAGGAAGATCCCTTTGGTGGCTGAATGGAGAAGGGTTGGTGTGAGGAGGGCTGTGGGCAGGCAGACCCCCCCACAGGGGTGTGAGAGCGAGGATCTGCAGCAGGATCGGGGCAGGCTCAGAGGAGAGGAGGGGTGCATTGCGGGGGAAACCCCAGGGCTTGGGCGGCAGCTTGGATATGGGGAGGCAGCGGCCGAGAGATTGGCCGTCCAAGAGGGCTGCTGCGTCGGGAGCCTGGGGACCGGGAGGAGAGGAGCAGGGAGCTGGGGCGTGGAATGCTGTCTGCAGGGCAGTGGGTTTGAGATGTCGGAGAGGCGGTTGGAGATGTGAGTCTGGACGTGTAGGAAGAGAAGCAGACTGGGGAGTCATTGGGTGCTTCCTTTCCTTTCCCTCTTCTTAACAGTCTAAAACCCCGGCTTCTGAGCTCAGCGTTCCACAGAAAGGGTTCTCTCCAAAGTGACCGTGATCTGTTGGCAGCTAAGTGGTGCCACAGTGCACACAGTGAACCTGAGTTCAGATCCAGCCTCAGACACTTCCTAGCTGTGTGACCCTGGGCTAGTCACTTCACCCTGTTTGCCTCAGTTTCCTCACCTGTAAAATGAGCTGGAGAAGGAAATGGCCAACCGCTCTGGCATCTCTGCCTAGAAAACCCCAAATGGGGTCACTGAGAGTCACAAAGGCTGAACAACAGGGTAGAGATGATAATTAAATCCATAGGAGCGGATGACATCACCAAGCGAAGCACTAAAGAGAGGAGAAGGCCCAGGGCAGTCCCAAGGGACAGCAGGTGTGACCTGGATGCAGACTCGGCAGAGGAGAGGAGAAGGGTCGGACAGGCAGGAGGAGAACCGGGAGGGGGGTCCTGAGTGACCACCCGTGTCCAAGGCCTCAGAGAGGTCAGGAAGGAAGAGGCTGCTGGCACGCAGCTAAGAGCGTGCGTGTGTCTCTGGAGAGAGCAGTTTGGGTGGAAGGAGGACGTCGAGAGCCGGGCTGAGACAGTTCAGAAGAGGAGGGCAGGGAAGGAAGCAGAGATCGGGGCCGACCTCAGAGATTTCAGCCACCAGCGCAGGGACAGGAGAGGCCGAAGGCCAGCAGGACCAAAGGACGGGGGAGACAGGAACGAGGTCATGGGCAGCAGGGAAGGAGCCAGCAGATAAGCCTCTGCTCCCTGAGCCTTGCAGCCTGGGACCCACTCTAGTGAAATCCCTGTGGGCCTCCTCGACACTGCCAACCCTCGTCCCACCAGGCTCTGAGAGCCGGTGAGCATCACCTTGCCCCTCCCTGGGCATGCTCGGCATGTCACGGGGGGGGGGCCCTCAGGAGGAAGGCATTTACCTTGAGGGAGCTGTGAGGCTGGGGAAGGCAGCGTCTCCAGATGACGGAGCCTCCCTCTCCATCAGGAGGCACGCCCGTGTCAACGGTGCCAGAGAGCCGGCTTGGTAGAGACGGGTTTGCTCGTTGTCCCCCCTCCCCGGGGGCTCCGTCAGGGCTGGGGCTGTCTTTTGTTTCTTTTTGTACACCTAGTACCCGGCATACAGCAGGCACTTAATAAATGTTGACTGTTTAAAGAGGGACAGAGCAGCCAGAGCTTGCAAGGACCCCCTACCTCCACCCCAGCCCCAGAGCTGTACTCTGCTCCGTACCAAAACAAATGACCTGTGGCTGGGGACACAGGGGCAGTCCTCTATCCGGCGACCTCAGGAGCACTGGGTTCTGTTCTGGGCCTTGCCAGTTTGGGTGAATGCCGATGGGCTAGGGAGTGTCCAGAGGAGGGTGCCCGGGATGGGGCACCCATGACCTCGGGGCCTCATTCGAAGCACCTGGCATGTTCAGCCTGGAGGAGACATGGGGGCCGGTGCTGTGAAGACACTGACCGTGGCCAGGGACACTGCAGGAGACGCGGTCTGCTTGCAGATCTGATTATGGCCATTTTGCAGATAAGAACCCTGAGGCTCAGAATGACCTCACAGCTAGGCAGTATCAGAGGTGCTATTTGAACCCAGGCCTCTCCTGACCACAGGTCCGGCACCTCCCCCCCCAATTTGGCCAGACCGCCTCTGGTTGAGTTGATGATTCCACAGCAGTATCCAGTGTGGGAGGTTCATAGATGTGGGGAACCTAGCAGGGTCTTTGGAGATTATCTGGCCATCCATAGGTTCTTCTCTGATGACACCTGCATCCCCACGAGACTCTCACCATGATCAAAGCATCTCCCAGTCCCAGAAAGCGCCCTCAGTCTCGGTCACCTGTTTACAAGGCCAACGCTAACTCTGGGACCTTGCTGGTAGATAGGGGAGTCGAAGGCATCTGGCTGTTGAGCAGGGTGGGAGACAGGCAGGCAGCGGGCTAAGGGGGTTGTGTTTCTGTCCCTCCTCTGTCCTCCCAAGGCCTCTGTTTCTCCCCTTACCTCCACTCCTTAGCAGGTGCAAACTGGCTGACTGTGCGCTTTCTCCTCAGCCCTGGGACAACAGTGAACCAGGATGGTGACGCTGCTGATTCTCTCCATCCTTGTGGGCCTCTCCAGCGTGGCTGATGGCCAAGGGGTCCATCTGGGGTGGTGTCCTCAGCCCCCTGTCCAGGAGAACTTTGATACCCATAAGGTAGGAGTCCCTGTGGCCCAGCAGACCTCACTCCTTTGTGAAGCAAGCTACCAGGAAAGAAGGTGATCCTTCCTGCCTCAAATCCAGGGTGCAAGGATTGGATACGGAGGCAAGATGAGGTCACCAGAACCTGGTCTCCCCCCCCCTCCGCTTAGGGGAATCTGTGGCTTCCCAAGGCTGGGAGCTGTGCTGCCCTTCACGGACACACGACTCAGTCCCTCCCTGTCTTCTCGTCCCAAAGAGCTCCTGCCTGGCCCGCCCACGAGCGAGCGCCCTGCAGGAGCCTTCCCTGGGGGCTTTCTCCTTTTCCCAGCTGTCTACCCATTGTCTCTCCCCCACCCCCACCGCCCGCTTCTTCCCATCAGCACTTACATTACCCTTTGTACCCAAGGATTTCAGATCCTCATAGAAAAGGTTATAGAAACCTCCTTAAAAATGGCATTTCCTTCAAATAGGCTCCTATTCTACAGACAGAGAAACAGAGCCCAGAAAAATTCAATCTAAGACAGGGAGGGCATATGGAACTGGAGCCAACCCCCCTGCCAGTCCATTTCCAGCTGCTGGGAGAATCCTGCTTCCTCAGGCTCAGATGGGGCATGTGCCCACCGGCACAGGGCAAACAATAAATGGAGCCCAGTTCTGAGCCCATGATCACGGAGTCAGTTTGAGCATGAGCTTCCAACCTCTCTATCTGGTGACAAATTCACTCCAATGCTCCACATTTAAATATTCCCAAATCTCAGAGCTGGAAGGGGACTCCCAGCCCGCCAGCCAAAACCCTGCTGTGGTAAGAATCGAGCGAGGCATTCCGATGACATGCAGCGGCTTGACGGAGCTGACTCTGGTGGACGAATAAGATGTTCAATGCGCTTGCATCTCAAGCAACTTCTGGGCCTTCGGGCCCGCTGCATTTGGACTCCTGATTCAGGCATCAGAAAAATGGAGAGTTGAGACTAATTGACCACGGACGTCCTGGCGCTAAATGGCCGACTATTTATTATGACCGTCTCAATTTTCACCAGGAGACTAAGGCCTCCTTGCCCCCACCTGGGGGCAGCACACTTAATTAAATGTACAAATCCCATGTTCTTGGAAGAGAGATCACCGTTCAAGGCTGGCTCTGAAGCCTCCAAACCACAAAGCGATAGCAAGAGCCACCCAGACACACGCATTTCCCACAGCCCAGCCACTGACCCAAAGCATCTCCCAGTCCCTCCCTGTCCACGACGCTCCAGGGACAAAGGGAACTGACCAATAATCCATCCGGTCGTCCCTCCACATCCCTCCTTTTTTCTCTTCTGCGAGCTCTGGCCTCATCCCTTCTGGGACTGCCTTAGAGGGTCCCGATTTGCTAAGCACCAATGCCCCCACACCAACCCCGCCGATTTCGCCCCTCCAGTATCTCGGAAGGTGGTACGAGATCGAAAAGATTGCTGTCAGTTTTGAGAAGGGAAGCTGTATCCAGGCCAATTATTCCTTGAAAGAAAACGGGAAGATCAAAGTGCTCAACCAGGAGATTCGGTAAGTGGCCCCCCGCCGTCCTGGGGCCGCCTCGCCGGTCCGGGTCCAGCACTCACCTGTGAGCTACTCTTCCCAGCCTCCCCCCCAGGGAGCCCGGGCACCCACCACCCAGGCGGGCGGGGCTCGGTGGCATGTTAGCCTGGAAAAGGCCACTGGGTCCATGGCTGGTTGTGACTGAACTCTGGGGGCTCAGACCAAGGGACTTCTATTTATTTTATCGGGCCCTTGCTCTGAGGGACCCAGGACAATCCACTGAGGCTATCCCACATTTGTTAAGCACCTGCTGGGTACCAAGAGCCTCGCTGAGGGACAGGCTTTGGTGTGGGCCATCTCCACCACCTCCCGCTTTGGGGAATGGGGCGAGGCCATCCAGGAAGGGCAGAAGCAGCTGGCTTGGAGGAGGCTGGGCCGGGGTTGGGAGCTCCGTTGGCTCCTGCTAGGAGTGGGCTGGGAAGCGGGGCAGGAAGCCTCCTCTGCAGAGCAGGAAGGAGAGGAGGAGGGGGGAGCAGGGAGGGATGTGGCCTCCTAAGAACCTCCGGCCCCTTGCAGACCTGACGGGAGCGTGAACCAAGTGGAGGGGGAGGCCAGCCAGGCCAACCTCACGGAGCCGGCCAAACTGGGAGTCAAGTTCTTCTGGTGTGAGTAGAGGGGCCCGAGAAGGAGGCAGGGAGTGAAGGGGCACTGACTTAGTGTTCAGCGGATGCTGCCCATTCCCCCAGGGCCACTGGGGCAGCCTACACCTCCAGGCTAGGCCGTGGAGTTTGGAGGATAGCCAGCTGCTGACCTCCACTCTGCCATCTCCTCCCCAGCCTCCAGTGGGCCTGTGAGCAGGGACCCTGGGAGGGAGGAGCAGGGACGGTCCGGCAAGGCCTGACCCAGATGTCTTGCCTCTGAAGTAGGAAGCCGCTGTGGACGAGGTTTTGGGGGGACGGGGGTTCCGGTCACAGAGGCAGCATTCACCCAACAGGGCCTGGCCTCCCCCCTCCCCTCCCCTCAGCCCCCTCCGACTGTCCCACTCCTGAATGACTCACTCTTATTATTCACGGACCCAGCTTTTATTTTTACAAGCAGACAAAGGCTGCTTTTGGTGGGCTGGAAGCCCACACCTTGAAGACTTTTTATTGGATTCAGCTCTTTGTTCTGGGGAAGCGGAGCCTGGGTTTGGCCTGTCATCCTAAGAAATGGGCATCTGGGCTGGGGCTGCTGGGCAGGGGGCCTGGCTGCCCTGGGAACTTGGCCTTGGGAAGCTGGGGAGGGGGGCTCTACGGGAGCAAAGTCTGACCTTGGGTAGCTTCTGAGGCCTTCCCCGGGGGCAGAGGGTAGAGATGCCAAGCCCGCTTCAGCCACATTAGCGACGCCCCAGGGTGGGGGGGGGGGGGGGCTCGACTAGGACCAGTCCTCACACTCTCAACACCCTGCTTGGTCTTACAGTGATGCCCACCGCTCCCTACTGGGTCCTGGCCACAGATTACGAGAACTACGCCCTCGTGTATTCCTGCACCACCTTCATCTGGCTCTTCCATGTGGACTATGCCTGGATCCTAGCAAGGCGCCCACACCTCCCACAGGCTGTGGTGGGCCAGCTGAAGGGCATTCTCACTGCCAACGGGATCGACATTGAGAAGATGGTGCCCACTGACCAGATGAACTGCCCCGAGTTCCTCTAGCAGAAAGCCTGCCACGCACAGCCTGCACCCACCTCTCGCTTTGCCCCGAGTAGAGAAAACAGCAACATGAAAGATGGTGCCTGGATCCCCACTGGCTGGCGAGGCAGGCCCTCCTTGGGCAGAGGCAGCAGGGAGGGGGGAGGGGGAGTTGGCGTAGGAGCCTGGCTCCGCCTCACCTGGCTAGTCAGTCCTGGCCACCCTGGCTGACCACCAGCCCACATCACTAACCTCCCCCAGCACATACACACCAAATCAGCTCCAACCACAGTCGAGACCGGCCTCGCTGATCTGCCCAGGCCTGCTCTCACAGCCTCCCTAATGACGACGGTTGAGCAGCCCTCGTGCTTAGCAAGGCTTCACAATAAAGAGTCCAGGTTCAGCCTTAACCTGCCTGATGCCTGCGGTGTCTCCTGAGGGAAGCGTGTTGTCTGTGGCTAGTCCTGCACAGACCTTGGCACCCTGGTGCTCAGGGGAGTCAGTCTCGACACGAGAAGTCAGGAGGCCCAGTAGACAGAGAGCAAGATGGCAGAGTCAGGGAGACCCGGCTTGAAACCCCGCTTCGGGAGGGCGTCCCTCCCTCCTGGGGGCTGCAGCCTCCTGATCTGTAAAATGGGCACACTCATTCCTGTCACGCTTGCCCCCTCCCAGCAGTGCCCCGAGGCCGCTGGGGGGCTCCCGGGGTCAACCTCTCTGCACACACAACATGCTTCTTCCACAATGGAGGAGTTTTCCTTCGCTTGCTCCCAAGTCCCTGCTCTCAGGGACCCAGGCTCACCCTGGACTCCTCTGCCGTCCCCTCCCTCGGGCCCCAGGAGATGCTCAGAGTGCAGTTTCTCCACACACCGCCAGGAGGGGCTCTGCAGGCCCCTCAGTTCTACTGATCTCATTCAGTCCAGGATGATGATAACTTATTGAATGGCGGAGCAAAATGGCTCCACCTCTACCCCCGCCAAGAGTCTCAATTTCTTCCTCTCTTCCTGTGACCCAAAGACCCACACACTTCGTAGCTGGAGGCTATTTACCAGGTGCCGCATCCCAACTTCCATCGTGGGTGCCCGTGGCAATTGTGGCAAAGGTCTCCCCCTCCCCAGAGGCTCCTCCAGGCAGCAATGGTGCCCAGAAGCCATTGGGAGGCTTCATCCAACAGCCAAATGGATCTCCCTAAGACCCAGGTCTGACTGCTGTCACACTCGCACACACACCCCCTCTTTCAGTAAATCCCAGCGACTATCTCCTCCAGCATCAAAGATAAAATCCTCTGTTTGGCTTTAAAACCCTCCAACCCTGCCCCTCCCCTCCACACCCCCGCAGTCTTCTTACACCTTTCACCTCACCACATACTCTTCCATCCCTGGTACAAGACTCTCCACCCTGCCCTCATCGCGACCCAGGCATCTCCCCTGGCTCTCCTCCAAACCTGGAACGTTCCCCTTCCTCATCTCTGCCTCCTGGTCTCCCTGGCTTCCAAGGCCAGGTACAATCCCGCCCCACCATCCACAGGAAGCCCTTTCCAGAACCCCTTCATACCAGTGCCTTCCCCTTGTGGGGCATTTCCACATTAGCCCGTCTACAGCTTGGTTGAGCTTAACTGTTTGCCCCGGTCTCCCTCACTTGACCGGGAGCTCCTGGAGAATGGGGACTGTCTCTTGTGTTCTTTAGCAAAGCGCCCGACTCACGGTAGGTCCTTAATAAATATTTATTACCTAACAACTAAGTAAAGCCATCCCAAGGACATTCAAGGAGAAGAATACAAGCAACACAAATAAGAACCACAAGAAGGCTTTGCCCGGACCACTGCACCCCACTTTGCTTCAGCGAAGCCCCATCTCTGGGCCTAATAACTTGAGGGAGCTCTGCTAGGGAAGCCTGAGCACCCGAACCCAGGCTCTTCAGAGAAGATGACGCCAGAGGGACGAGAGGGAGGCCATGGAGGGGCCCCTTTACAAGCTATCTGAAGGAGGGGGGACCCAACTTGGATCTTATTAATACCAAGTGTCCAGGGACCGTCCACAGCTACCCACCTGGGCCTGCTTTCCACATACATGAGTTAAGAACGTCCCCAACAAGGGTGGAAGTAGGGAAGGGGCAGGGTTCAGCAGGCCCTCCAGCACGCTATCCGTCTCTGAGGATGGAGCTCCACTGGCCAGGTCGCCATTACACACACAAAATGGTGCTACTGAGTCACCAAGTGTTAGGGGGAGGGCTTTCCAATGCTGGTGAGTGACCATAAGAAACCATCAATCTTCTCTTGCGTGGATGCTGCCATGAAAGACAGAGAAGTATCAGAGCTGGGTCTCTGGTCAGAGGTGCCTAAGGGAGCTGGAGAGAGTTGTCCTCTCCCACATGAAGCCTCATGACCGTGGTCCTGCCCTTCCATTAATTGACAGAGCTGATATGCCCTGCCCTGGAAAGAGCCCAGGAAAATGGTCTGCTACTCTCTCAGAGTTGGCACATGGGGTCGGGCTGCCCTGCTTTGCGACGAAGGCATCCCGAAGGAGCTAGCATGGGATCTGAAACCCCGGGATGTGGGCCTGTTTGGCTCCACTTGGACCACCAACCTCACATTCAGTCCCTGGAGGCAGAAGAAATTCCATTCCCTACCCATGGCCTAAAAGAAAAATTTCTTTTTCCTTTTAACTACAGCAACATTACAGCTCCCCATCCCCAGACAGCAAGACAAAACTTCTGGAACCTGGGCAACACCCGCAATCATACATACTGCCAAAAAGCCAATGGGGCTGTTGGGGTGCTGGCGGATCTAGCCCGGAGAGTGTCAGGACCTAGGAGAGCACCCCATTCATTCAGGACAGTTCATAAGGGCTCTCAAAGGGCATTTAGGAAGGAGGTGATGGTGATGGCCTGCAGCCCCACCCGAAGTGGGCTCTTGGAGCCTGGCCAACCCTGGATACCCAGGACGTGAAATGGGAAAATGGGACCTGAAGTCACAGCTCCTTCCCGGGGCTCCCAGAACTTGGTGGTGGTGGTGGTGGTTTGACATTTTGATAACTATATTTCACCACACTTGGTTTCCTTTGTAATCTCATAGACTTTATTTTATGCATTCAACAGTATGTTTCTGACAAAGAGCCCAGAGTCAGTCCAAGGTGTCCTGAACACAAATGAGCAAAAATGGTTCAGAACCCCTGGCTTAGGTAAAGTTAAAAAGAAAGGAAGGGGACCAAGTCGGCCAGGCTAGTACTGGGAGATGCATACCAACGGCCCCGACAGGGAGAGAGACACTGCCTGTCCCCTGCTTGAGCTCCCAGCCAAGCTCAGCTCTTAGCTGTTCTCCAAACTGCATTCCCAATGTGGCCCCCTCCAGTCCCCACCACACACACACACACATACACACACACACACACACACACACACACACACACACACACACCCCAGATGTACATGGGGCAGAATCAGGGGCTCCTCCTCCAGGAAGCCTGTTTGGATTCCCCTCCATGGAAAGTCTCCCTTTGGGATCTCACCTTTGCCTCATCACAACCTCCCTAGCACTACGTGTGCTTGCAAACATCTCAGAATGTAAATAAAATAAACTGTCAGGTGCCATCTAAATGTGAGTCACAGCACGATTATTTGTTGAAATAAATTCACCAAATCCTGGGCTTTTTGGAGCCCTGAGGGACCTCTGCTGATGTGCCAAAGAAGCAGTGTCTGTGTGGATTTAAGGTTTGCAAAGAGCCTTAGACAGATCACATCATTTGGTCCCCACAATAGCCAAGTGAGATCACGCCCTCAATGCAGCCTCAGAGGCTGAGCTGAAACACAGCACGGGCCAGTTCTCTGTCTCCTGCGCTAATTTTGACCTGACGACACCAAGAAAACAGAGGCTCTCCACCAGACAGCGCCACACCGTCCACATGTGGAACCGCTGGTTATGGCAAATGGAGGGATTCTCAATGCGGTGGCTAAGTTCACTTACTTTCCAGGGACGTCCACACGGATAAGGAGGCTGACACACGCATTGCCACAGTTAGCTCAGTGCTTGGGAGACTCCAAAGGAAAGTGTGGGAGAGAAGAGGGATCAGACTGACTGCCACACTGAAGGCGTGCAGAGCCGCTGTGCCGACCTCCTCGTTGTATGCCTGTGAAACCCGGACAGTCCACCAGCGCCATGCCAGGAAACTGAACCGCTTCCATCGGAATTGTCTTAGGGAGAATCTGAAGTCACCCGGCAGGATAAGGCGCCAGGCACTGAGGTCCTTTCTCAAGCTGCCCTGCCCTCCCAAGCATTCAGTCTCCACTGCAGAGAGCGCAGCTCCAAAAGACCGGCCACGTTGTTTGAACATAGGAGAACTCACGTGGAGGTCAGAAGAAGCGATACAAGGACACTCTCAAGGTCCCTCTGAAGAGTGGTGGGAGACTCTGGCGCAGGACCGCCCAGCATGGCACCCCCACATGGCAGGAAGTGCTGCGCTCCACCAGCGAAGCAGAACTCAAGCAGCTCTGGAGGAACGTGAGACACACAGATTTAGAGAATCCGCCCCAAGCATTCCCACGGATCTTTGTGCCCGACCCGCGTCAGAGCCTGCCGAGCTCACGCTGGTCTGATCAGCCACAGCTGGACACGCTGCACCTTGGCCCCGACACACGTCGTCTTGGTCCTCTTCAGCAATGAAAGACAGCCAACCATCCAACCGTTATCCCCGTTTTACAGAGGAGGAAACTGAGGCTGGAAAGGTGAAGGGACTTGTTTGGGGTCATCGGAGTACATGAACTAGGATTTGAACTCAGGTCTTCCTGACTCCCAGTCCAACCTTTCCCCTCAGTCCAGCCTATCCCTGAAAGCAATCCTCCCTCCAAGGCCCCTCCGAGTGGCCGAGTGGGTGGCTCCCACCCTGGGGCAGCCCGAAGGAAGAGAACTTTTATCCTGGTACCGAGTCGAAGCTGGGGGGGGTCTCCCCCACTTCCACCCACCGAAAGGCTCTCCGGGGTCAAAGCGGGCCAAGCCGGCCAGCCCACGCCTTTGGCGCGCCCTCGGATGTCTCCAGCCTGGGCGGGCTCCCTGGGTCCCGAGGTGGCCGGCCTCTCCACGACGTCCTCCTCCGGCGAGGGCGCTGACCATCGCCCTCTGGACAATGGTGGACCCCTCAATCTGCACCTCAGCCTCTGCCCCCTCTGGAAGTGGGCACCAAGTGCATGGGGGGAAAGAGGACGAGGAGGGTCTCCTAGTGCTCGTCCATCAGTATGGCCGGGACACATGCAGCAAGCACCTACTATGTGCCATTTGATCCTCACAACGACCCTGGGAGGCGGGTACTCTTTTTCTCGCCATTTTACAGATGAGGAAACCGAGGCCGGCAACGGCCCCCGGTGGCCAAGCTCTAGCCGCGTTGGCTGGAGTTACCATGGCTACAAACACCCGCAGGGAGTTTCTCTGGAGCTCTACTGGGTAAACTCGGGCGCCGGGGAAGCCAGGCCCCAGCTCACGCGTAGCTATCTGCCATGAGCTCACGCGCATGCTCAAAGCCACACTCCGCCCCGAGCCGTCAAAGGCGCTCTAAGGCGGCTCAGGCCCCGCCCCTGGAGAGGCCCCGCCTCGCTCTCCTGAGTGCGCGGTTTGGGGCGGGGTGGGGGGAAGAGAGGAGGTGCGTGCCCCGACTCTACTTCCGGCGGGACGCCAAAGTACGCGTGACGGCGCGCGTCGGGACGCCGTGACGCCCCGCCCAGACGCCCCTGACGCCCCGCCCCGACGCCGTGACGCCACGACGCCCCGCCCCGACGCCCCCGACGCCCTGACTCCCCGCCGCCCCGCCTCCGTCGCCTCAGTCGCCGCTTCCTCAGCGGCCTCCTACCCGCTGGGTCGTCAGCTCCTCGGTCTCTCGGTGGGCGGGCGGCCGTGCTCCCGGGGACGAGGCCCGAGCGCGGCGGGCGGGCGCCCTGTCGGAGCGGGCGCGGCGGAGCGGGCGGGCCAGCTCGGAGGCCATGGCGGCCTCGGCGGCCTCGCACCGGCCCATCAAGGGGATCCTGAAGAACAAGGGCGTCACCGACAGCCTCTCGGGCCTGCCCCCGCCCGCCGCCGGCGCCTCCGCGGGCCCCGGCTCCGCGGCCTGCGACGACGACTTCGGGTGCGTGTGGGGCGGGGGGAGGGGCACCCCCGGAGACGCCGGGCCCCGCGCCTCGTCTGCCTCGGCAGCGCCCCCGGCCGGTCCGAGGGTCCGAGGGCCCGCGTGGGAGCGCCCGTGCGCCCGGGGCGCCGCCGCGCCTCTGCCTGGGCTCCCGCCCCCCCCCCCCGCCTCTGCTCGGGCTCCCCTCCCCCCGCCGGGGCGGGGGTGGGGGGTGGGGGCAGGTTTCAGGTGGTGCCGGTTTTGACGGCGGCAGAGCGACCCAGGATCTCGTGTCTCCCGTTTTGTTTAAAGGGCGACGCTTCCCGCGGCTGCGTCCCCACGCTCTGCCCTCCCCTCCCCTCCCCTCCGCCTGCCTCCCACAGGGCAGAGGCCCCGGCTGTCTCGGGCCTCCCCTTCTCCCGAGGAGGCTTCCGAGTTGACAGCGGGCATGGAGGAGAGGGCGTTGGGCAAGAGAAAAAGCTGGAAAGGACTTGGATGCGGAGCTTTCCTCGTCTGCTCGAAGTGATGGCCTGTCGAGCTTAAAGAGGCGATCGGCCTTGAGAGCGTGTCACCTTTTACGGACGATTCGGCCGCGGAGTCCACTGCAGGCTGTTCGCTTCAGAACGGTCTGGCAGGCTCTGGTTTCTATTTGTACGGTTGTGTTTCCCATTTATACTTCTCAGGAGAAATTAGAGGTGACTGAAACCAGAAAGCCACGGCTTTCGTGATCATCCATGGGAAGCGAGCTTAGGGTTTATAGTTTGCTTTGTGCTGTCTTCGTCCAGATGAGATGGAACTCAGACTGTCCTCCGCGTAACAGTGGGCACATTTCCTCCAGAACCAAGACATTTGGGTTTTCCTTACTTTTCTTTTGGTTTTTCTTTTTTCTTTTTTGTTTTCGTGTTTGTGGTTCAGTCCTTTCAGTCACACCTGACTCTTCTTGACTCCATGTGGGGTTTTCTTGGCAAAGATCCTGGAGTGGTTTGACGTTTCCTTCTCCAGAGTCCTCATTTTACAGATGAGGAAACTGAGGCAGGCAGGGTTAAGTGACTGCTTGCTGGGAGTCACACAGTTACTAAGTGTCTGAGACCAGATCTGAACTCAGGAAGATGACTCTTCCTGACTCCAGGCCTGGCGCTCTGTCCGCTGTGCCGCCTAACTCATCACTCTTACTCTTTTTACAAGTGCCTAAGATAGTGAGTTATTTATGGTCCAGTCTTCTCAGAGTTTGTTTTGAAAGATGAATGGAAATCTTGTCATTTTCCCAAGAGGCAAGGTTAAAAGTTGATTCCAGGTACTGGTTCGGACCGTGAAAAGCCAAGGATGAGATGAATCTCATCCTCACGCATGGTCCTGTGCGGCTCGGTATCTTCTCCTGAGTGGCCCACCGGCCGCTCGGTCTGTCCAGAATAGATCCTTTCCCCTAAATCTGCTTCTTCCACAAACTTCCTGATTCTGTTGGGGACAACACTCCTTTTATTATCTTGGAATTGTGTTCAACTTTCCCTCTTACCACTCCCCCCCACCCTCTTTTCATCCAATAACTTGCTGAAATCCTGTGCATGACTTCTTGTCTGCAGTGTGAGCCTCATCACCAAAGTGATCTCTTCCCTTTCCCATCCATCTTCCACAGCCACCAAAAAATTGTTCCTGAGGCCCCTTCTCTGCTGGGGTGAGGAGAGAATTTTTTTATCTTAAGAGCAGTTAAGACGACTTGATGTGTCCTGAGGAGTGACGTGGTCAGAGACTCTGCTTTAAGAAGGCTTGGGGGCAGCTATGGAAGGTAGAGGGAGTAGAATCTGGGATGGGGGACACAATTTCTGAGGCTGTTGCCATAATCCAGGCCTGAAACATGCTGGGCCTATGTGTGTGAAGAGAAGGGATAGATGGGAGCTTGAGTCAAGAGGTTTGACACAGCGTCGGATACCCGAGGAACCCTGAAGTTGGGAATCGGGATATCAGAAAGGATGGTTTTCTTGACGTATACAAGTAGGGAGGAGAGGCAAGCTGAGGGGAAAAGGTGAGGTCTTTTGGGTATGTTGAATTTGAACAGCCCATGGGACATCCAGTTAGAGATGCTTAGCAGGCAGGTGATTCGGCAGAGAGATCAAGGCTATATGTAGATTCACGAGGTATTTGCTTAGAAATAATTCAGTTCATGGGAGCTCATCAAATGAAGAGAAGAGAACCTGAGACAGCCCATACTTAGGGGGTTAGACATGCATGATACCTATTGAAGGAAACAGATCCCGTTGGAAAGAAGAGGGTCATCAAAGGCCAAAGGACATCACAGGATGGTAGATTTATAGCTACAGGCGATCTCCAATGTCACGTAGTCCATGCCCGTATCTTCTAGATGAGGAAACTGAGGGACGGGAAGCCTTTCTAGCACCTGGTAGACACGTAGCAAGTGCTTACTGATGGATCACCCACTGCCACAAACATAAGTGGTAGAGTCAGGATTGGAACCCAGATCTCCTGATAACAAATCTAGAGTGTGTCTAGGAGGAGGCTGCTCTGCTCTGTCTTCTGGGGGAAGTCAGGTTTCTGTGAGTATAAAGAGTTGGTGGGGGGAGGAGGAGAAGGAGGAGGGTCTCTGCCTGGGGAAGTTTTTGAACAGGAACTCCTGACTCTGTCCTCATCCCTGTGTCTTAGCACCCTTACCTGCCTGAGCAGGCCAGCTCAGCTGTTTGCTCTGGAAGCCATCCCAGGTTGCACCTCTCTCCCTGCCCGCCCTCTAGTTAATGCGTGGTCTCCCCTCCATTGTCCTGCTGCTGTCAGGCCACAAGCACTAAATACTCAGCCTTAGGGGTCTGGTGACCACGGTACCTGCCCTCCATAGCTGCTTACATGCTTTTGGAGGAATCCACATGGATATTTACAGTCATTGGGATAATGGAGACAAAGTGAAGGCCTGGTGGTTTGGGGGCTCCTGAGTGGAGGCTGGAAGTCCCAGGGTTTCCAAAGTTGTGAATAGGCATTGGGGGTTATCCCTAGAAAGGGTGACATCAGGGCATTTGGGGGCAAGATTAGCAGTTGGCAGTTAATGAAGAAACAAGCCAAAAAAACCCTGACACCCTACACAGTCATTAGAACAATAAAGCTAAACCACATGGTATCTCATGACTAAGCTGAGCCCTGGAGGAGAGTTTAGGATATGCACAGACCTCCCTCTGTGGGTGAGGAATCACAGGTACGGCGTACTGTGTATATGCCAGATGTGATTGTGTCTGACATACTGTCAGCGTTTGCTGACCTTTTGATCTTTGATATGCTTCACTCGAGAAGCATTTACCGTCATTGACTGTGAGCTGGGCACTTCAGGGATTATTAGACCTGTTTTTTTGGATGAGTAAACAAGATTTGGAGAGGTGAAATCACCATTCCTGGTTTTAGCCAGCACATTGCCAAAGCCAGCTTTGGAGTTCAGTCTGGGTCTTCTTGCCGACAAGTCCAGCATGCCCTGTTACAATAACTGTGGCACAACTTCTTACGTTGGACTGTGCAAGATTTTTTAAAAGCTGTTTCCAAGCATTTATTCCGCCCCAAACTCATGACTGACAAAATTCATAAAATAAAACATTTGAAAGCTTTTGTCATGCTAAGAGAGAAGCCAGTTGTGCTCAGACTGTTCATTGTACATCACTGCTGAAGGGTTTCTCTCAAGTGGGTCAGACATCTCCTGCAATCTGATTAGCAAACCATGTTTTTATGGGCAGGGGCCGAGCTGCATTTGTAGCTTAGGGTTCTCTCACGGATGAAATCCAAATTTAATGAGGCTTTCACTGTGGTTCTGAAGAAATGAAGCCAAAGAAATGTCCTTGTTTCACGTGGGCCAAACTGTTGCTTCTCTGCATTATCCTCTTCCTTGGACCAGGTGATGGAGGGATTTGGGGATGTTTGCAGAGTGGAAACAAGACAGATAATGGTGCCCAGAGTGTGCCGTTAACTTTCAGTTTTTTCTCTATACCACCTCATTTCGGTTCTGGATATGACCCATTTTACATAGAGTATGTTGTGTTTGGAATAGTCCTTACCCAAGCATAGGCCCGTCACTCTCTTGCTCAGTACACTCCAGTGGCTCCCTAGTAACTTTTAAAATCAAACACAGACTCCTGTTACTTCAGAAGTTGGCTTGTACTCTTGAGTTCACCCAAATGTGCATCTCTCTCCATTTCCTTGTACCTTCTTTAAAAATGTTTTATTTTCAGGGGCAGCTATGTAGCTCAGTGGAGACAGCACCGGCTCTGGAGTCAGGAGGACCTGAGTTCAAATGTGGCTTCAGACACATAACTCTTACTAGCTGTGTGACCCTGGGCAAGTCACTTAACTGCATTGCCTAGCCAAAAATAAAATAAAAGTAAAAATTAGGCCTGCATTTTAAAAAGAAGATAGAAAAATGTTTTATTTTCCAAATTCTCTCCCTCTTTCCCCACTCCACGCACTGAGAAGGCAAGAAATACCATCCCCACCATACATGTAGAATCATGCAAAATGTTTCTGCTTTGGCTATATTTCTGTACCTTTTCATAGGCTGTCCCACATTTTCCTTTAAATCTCAATAGAAATGTCTCCTCCCCGCTCCTGCTAGTTTCTTTCCATAAAATTATCTCTGGTTTTTTGTTTGTTTTGTTTATATTTAGTATATGCTCATGTGTGTACATGTTGTCACCTGGCATAGAATGTAAGTGAGCTCCTGGAAGGCAGGGACTTTTTGACTGTACAGTACTGTGTACAGATCTGTAGCACTTAGCACAGATCCTGCAACATAGGAGGTACTGAATACATGCTTGTGGATTGATCCGTGACTATCATAATTCTTCATTTACCTTAACTCTAGCTTGGATCCTGCCCTTGAAAACAAAGATGGGTGTCAGCCATGAGGAATTTGGATGTTTATCACTTTTTGATTGGGGGTGAGGGGGGCGCGCCGCAGGGTGTGGAAAGTTAATCTTTTTTTGTATTGAAGACATTTTTTTCCTTTTCATTTTAGTAAGAAATCCCAGAAGTGGGATGAAATGAATATCCTAGCAACCTATCATCCAGCAGACAAAGACTATGGTTTAATGAAAATAGATGAACCCAGCACTCCCTACCACAGGTAAAAAAAAAAAAAAAAAATGTTTGCTATAGAATCTAATGGTCTGGCACCTCGTAGTGCAGTGTTAGTGAGTAGTCCCGTGGTGGGATGTCATGCAGAGGTTTCCATATTTTAATCAAGTGTTGAAAATAGGAAGTCTTATCATGGAGTTAAATGGGAAGAGTCAAGTTTACAAGAAGTCATTGACTTCTGGCAGTTTACCAGGATTTGGAAGCTTATTGACTTTGTCGTTATTTTTTGAGAGCATATTTATCCAAATCGTTTCTTCCAAGTAAAAAATGGAGGCTGTCTGAGATTCTTGAATCACTACCATCTAGTAGTGAAAAGAAGATCACTTTAGACTGATAATCCGTTCCACGAGAATGAAGAGGTTAGAAGGAAGTTGCAGATTATTGAAAACTGCTGTTGTGGTACTCAAGTCTGATAATTCACTTGCTGGGTTTTGGCGAATCTTGCTGCATCTTGTGACTGAATTATGAAAGAGTATCGGGAGCTTTTGATGAGATGAATATGCCCGGGCAGACCCCCAAGGCTGGTGGATTGCTTGAGTTCAGGAGTTTGGGTCTCCAGCGGCTATGCTGTAAGAGTCGGGGGAGGACTGCTGAAGGAGGTCGAAAAGGGAGGGAGCAGGTCAGACTCCCATGCTGATTGTCAGTGGGTTGGCCCATGGGTGGCCACTACGCTTCCATCCTGAATGAGATAGTGAGACCCGTCTTGAAGGGTGGGGAGGGGTCTTAAGAAGTAGGTGACTCCTCTTCGTGCTTTACATAGGAGCCCACAGTCTGGCCCTCCAGGGAAGAGAGCACAGAGGCATCACGGCGTGTAAGATCTGACCACTGCTATAGACATCATAACTTGAGTTGTAGACGTGCTACAGTTCCATGCTTGTAACCAAAGGTGATTTCTTTCAGTTTAAAACTGAGAACAGTAAAGGCAGTGACAACCTGAGGAAGAGGTAAAGGTGGTAAAGAGAGCCTCAGGATACGAGGCCTTCTAGCGAGAAAGGGGGAGAGGTCATTTAGGCAGCCATTAGGGAGATGTCCCTGTGCTTACTGTGTTACTGATTCCAGGCGTACCTCTCATACGGCAATCCCCTGAGTGCTTATGCTGAGCAGTGGGCAGGGTGGAGAGGAAGCACGTGGCACAACACAGCCTGCCCCAAGTTCAGAGTCCGCCTGGGAAGGCAAACCATGGAACCTTTAGAGAACCCCACGGGGGGAAGAGGCAGGTGTGCCACTGACCAGCTTGGTTGAAGTGGTCCCCTGGGGCCTCAGTGTCTTTGCCTGGAAAGCGGGGAAGTTGGTATTAAAGTATTTCTTTGGACATTAAAATGCTGTGAATATTTTTTACGTCTTCATGAGGTGACATAAATTGGATTATTAGTGCCTCCCTAATTGAGAGTTACTTTGTATCATATATTGACTATTTTAATTCAATTAACATTTGTTACAAGCTTATTGCATGCAAGGCACTTTAATGTAAATTTAAGAATTTGCAGTAGTATCCTAACTAACTTTAATCAGTTTGTTCTTCTAAGTAATTATTGAATTTTAAATGGCATGGTACTCATCCCAAGAAGTTTTAGGATGCGTGCAACTCTCAGTTACACATAGGAAAATTCTTCTGAGCTCTTAGTTCTTTAGGTTGGTGCTTTTCTGGTAGTCAGAAAAACGTCTCTTTCCAGTGTTCAGTTTGGAAACCAGGAATGAAAGAAGGCAGGCCAGAATAGGATCACTAGCGAGCTTGAGCTCCCAGAGGTCGGAGGGATTCCTGAAACATTGGACACGTCCACATTCAAGTCTCAGTGTGAAAGCACACCCAAAGGCCAAGTGTACATGACTTTGGATCTGTGTAAATAACTGAGTGGAATGTATCCATAGCTTTTAAGTGGTCAAATGTTTAATCTCCCGTTTTTTCTTCACGCTGGTGATTAACATTATTTGAAAAAGCATTTTTAGTAGGTTTGGTTTACGAACCAGATAATTGTACCACAATAGTTAGGCATGGGTAGGAATGTTGTCTGTCCTTGTGTTTTGTGGTGGCAGTCGCGTCCTTCAAGCATATCTGGTCTGTTTGCCGTTCCAGTATGATTGGCGACAATGATGACGACATCCTGAGTGACTCAGAATCCAATGAAACCCTGCCCCCAGAAGTCCTCGCCCAGAAGTGAGTAGTGACTCTTCCCTCCCGGATGCACTCCGAGGAGCTGGTTTGTGGCTTCTAGAACAGCTGATGCGTATGTAGGGCTTGTCACTTTTGAAAGTTCTCTCCTTTGAACCTCAAAGTAGCCCTAGGAGGTAGGTTTTATAGGTCTTGTTGTGCTGCCCATTTTACAGATGTGAAAACTGAGGAGACAAATGAACCGCTTGGACTAATAAGGGACAGAGCCAAGATTGGAATCCAGCTCCTCCAACTCCAGATGTAGCCCATTCCACCATAGCATTGTGTTTCCATTTCAGTTTAGGAACACTAAGTATATAAAAAGGTATGCGTTGACTAGATAGACATCTCAACCCAGTGTTAGTAGAAGCAATTGTCCTAGTGGCAGGGAACCGAAGGGTGGTGGGACACAGAGGGCGTCCATTGGAGAGAACAGAGGGATCAACGTAGAGAGCTCAGGATGCAGTCTGGTTGCCCTCACTCCCCCACCCACATTCTGAGGGCTCAGCCCAAGAAATGAGCAAGGAGAAAAGATCCAAACCAACAGGGATCTCCACTTCTTGTCTTGGTTCTTGCCAAGTGCTAATAACACCGTGTCTTGTCAGCAGGCTGGTTGGAAGCTGTGCGGAGGGGTGTGTGCGTGGTGTGTGTGTGGGGGGGTGTGTGGTGTGTGTGGTGTGTGTGTGTGCGCGCGCGTGGTGTGTGCGCGCGCGTGGTGTGGGGGGGGTGTGCGTGGTGTGTATGCGTGGTGTGTGTGTGTGTGTGTGTGTGGTGTGTGTGTACGTGTGTGTGTGTGTGTGTGACGCACGTGTGCATGTGCACGTGCACACCATCGTCATTTACTCAGTGATAGAGGCAGGCTTCCTTCGTCATCTGAACCACTGCCTTTCTTGGATAAGGTTGTCGGCTGCCGAAGGCTCTGAACCAAAGTTTCTCGTTCACGATGATGAAAGTAGTGAAGAGGAAGATGACCTGACACCCGAAGAACAAGGTAGAGGGTTTTCTTGATTGTCATAGTTCTCTGTTGGGAACGCCCGGGGGAACCAGCCAGTTTTGTACCAAAGTAGTTTCCATTTTCTCCAGAAACAGGCAGAGAGGGATTTTTTTTTTTAGTGGCAAATACCTTTTGGAAAATGTAATTAATGTGTTCCCCACTTTCAGGCTGTATGTTACTGGAAGAGCAGGTTACCTACTGTAAGACAAAATCTTGACTCCATGTTTGTTTGGACATCAGTAGAAACTGTTGAGTAAGGGGGTGAAGTGGGCCAGGAGTGGAATTTTGCCTCAGGGCAACACAGCGCAAGCCACAGAAATGGAGATTGGCTGGACTAGAGCTCAGGTTGGGTAGGTCAGAGCCGAGACAAAAACTATTTCTGAAAAGTAGCTGCCAGGGTGTCAACCTCTCCTCACAGCTCTATTGCAGGGTTAAGCAGACCGTGCCTTCCCCTCTCCCCTGGAAGCTGTGGCTCCCTGTGGAAGATGTGGGGGGACATCTGGCCTCCTTCTCCTGAACTCTGCTTGGGAGCTCCAAGAGGTAGGGGGTTGCCACGACTCCGAAGGAGTCTGGGTGGTTCACCAAGCTTTTTCAGTAACGCATCTACGAATGTCATCCTGGGCGGGCATCACAAAGTTGGGGATGTCATTTGGGAGTTTTTATTGGAGTCATGGCCAACACTTGGGGCAAGTGGGAAGTTCCTGTTCTTGGGGCCACAATACATAATAGAATGTCAGAACTGGGAGGGACCCCGAAAGTCATCTAGCTTCATCTTGGAGGTGGCAAACACCGAGCCCAGATAAGTTTATTGATAACTCAGAAAGTCTGTGGCAGAGGTGGTACTAGAATCCAGCACTCCCAGAGGAACACACCTTCTCCTCCAAGTGGGAAGGAACCTCTCAAGTTTCTATTCTGTACCTAAGTAAGGATCACATCAGCAGTTCATTGTATGGCCTCCACTGGGAAGCCAACCCCTTCTCTCTTGGTCAGTCATCTGGTGCTAGCGTCAAACCTAAATTTACATGCAGCTTTGACTCTGTTTTCCCTAGTTCGGCCCTCTAGGGCAAGACAGAACAAATGTAATCTCTCTTCCGTGAGACAGTCCTTAACGTATTTGAACATAGCAGCTTTCCAGCCTGTATCGCATAGACTTGAGGCCCTCCACTATCCTGGCTGCTCTCTGCATGAGCTCCACATTATCATGGCAGTCTCCTTACTAAATTGTGCCACCCAAAAGTGAACAGATGATTCCACAGGGTATGTGACCTAGGACTGGCAGTCATCTCCTGTAGTCCTGGAGGTCTTTCCTCTCCAGCCTAAAGGTACATTAACTTTTCTCCTTAAACCCTTCACTTCCTTATTCCACTCTGCTGGCTCTCACTGAGACCAGGCTCTCTCCTGGTGACACAGACTCCATGGCCACCCTTTCCAGCCCTGGTGGCACTTTTTCTCATACCCCCAACTCACTGGTCCTGGTGGGGGAGTCAGATACTCCGCACCAAACATCGGACACAGCAACAGCCATGTTGTGTCAACTATGAATAACTTGGCCCTTCTCAGCAACACAGTGATCCAGGACAATTCCAGTGCTGTCTACCTCCAGAGAAAGAACTATGAAATCTAAATGCACAGTGAAGCAGACTCTTTTCACTTTAGTTTTTGGGTGTTTTTTCCCCCTTTTGGTCTGTTTCTTCTCTGACAACATGACTAATATGGAAAGAAAAAAAAAACAAACCAGAAAACCCCCAAATACTCCTCAGTTCTCCTTGCCACTCCCAATCTTTCCCTCTATAACATTACTCAACAATTGCTCCTTTTGAGGTTCACATTATCGAGATTTATCACTCAGTTCAGATCCAGGTGGCCATTACACCCTTTTCCTACCCCTTAGACATTCTCCCTGCTTCCTTAATGAGTTCAGTGCCTGGTATACAGTCTTTGACACCACTGTAGCTCTTGACCTCATCCTAGGGGACCTTAACACATTGATGCTTCCTCTACTCTTCTAACTTCCCAAGTCCTCAGTCTGCTCAGCTCCCACAACCACTCCTTCTGCTGCACCTTAGCCACTCATAGAGGTACGTACCCTTGATCCACCATGGTGGATCAAACTCTTATATTTGGTCATAATCTTTTATCATTCCATCTTTCCTTGTACCTTTGAACCCCTAGACCTGCCCACTTCTCTTTGGCTGGATCTTCTTTCAGGTCATACTCCCTACATGTGACTGTCCCCTAAGGCCTACTCCTTCGCATTAGTTCTTATGGATTCAGTTATCTCTATGCAGATGATTCCCAGACTATTTATCTAATCCTAATTTCTCTGCCACCTCCAACTACTTAATGAGCACTTCAAACCCGGTATGTCCAAGATGGAACTCGTTACTTTTTACTCCCAAACCCTCTCTTCTGCCTAACTTTCCTGTTACTGTCACTCCCACACTCCTGACTAGGAGTCATCTTGGACCCTTCACTCTCTCATCCCCCCTCCCCTGCCCCCCCCCCCCAATTCAGCATAATCCCAAGGCCTGTCAGTTTCACCTCTGCAGCATCTCTGGTCCATTTCACCTCTGCACTGTCTCTGGTCCATTTCACCTCCGCAGCATCTCTGTTCCATTTCACCTCTGCACCATCTCTGGTCCATTTCACCTCTGCACCATCTCTGGTCCATTTCACCTCTGTACCATCTCTGGTCCATTTCACCTCTGCATCGTCTCTGGTCCATTTCACCTCTGCAGCACCTCTGGTCCATTTCACCTCTGCACCATCTCTGGTCCATTTCACCTCCGCAGCATCTCTGGTCCATTTCACCTCCGCTGCATCTCTGGTCCTTTTCACCTCGGCAGAATCTCTCCAATTCACCTCCTTCTCTCTCACACTGCCATCACTCTGGTGCAGACCCTCATCACCTCAAGCCTAGACTATTGCCATAGCTTGTGGGTCTACCTGTCTCAGGTCTTTCCCCACTCTAGTCTATTCTCCATTCAGCCACGAAAATGATTTTCCTAAAGGGCGGGTCTGACCATGTCACCCCTCTGCTCAATAAACTCCAGTAGCTCCTGTTGTCTCAAGGGCTGCATCCTTCATAACCCAGCCCATTCCTACCATCTTGCTCTTGACTCCCCTCCTGTACTCTACAGCGCAGTGACACTATCCTCCTGGCTGTTCCTTGTGCCACATACTCCATCAAAGGCCAGACGTGGAGTCCAGCAGGTTCATGTGTCCCCTTTGACGTATACTGACTCTGCAGCCCAGTGCGAGGCATTTAACCTCGCACTGCTATAGGAGTAAGCATGCATCAGTAAAGGGGAGTTTTCATAGACATTCCCACAGATGAACTCACCACTTTGGACCAGGATGCTTTGTCTTTGCCACAATTGAACCAAAAGGCAATTTAAGGCCATAAATTCAGAAGAGGATGAGACTTTAGAGGCCAGCCGCTCCATTTTACAGATAAGGAAACTGAGGCCTGTAGGTAGCATGACTCCAAGTCCAGTCCACTTCCCACTATGCCACTTCCACCTCTCTGCCATCACTTCTTTGCCAGGTCTTCAGAGATCTCCAGAATCTGGCCCTGCTCAACCTTTCGACCCGGTCTTGCGTGTAGTGGATAATAATTAATAATAACTGAGGGAATCCGAGCTAACGGTTTATTAGCCAAAGAGGGATAACAAAGGGGGCAGCTAGGCAGTGCAAACCCCTCCAGTATCTCTGCCAAGAAAACCCCAAAGGGGCACGAAGAGTCGGACATGACCAAGAAATGGCTGGACAACATCAACAAAGCAAAACAGATACAGTAAATGGGTAAGCAGACTCCCAGTCAGTGCAGAGACACTGAGTGCAAAGTAATTCAGGTTTTTGTATATTAAAAACAATCACTTGAGATCAGCTAATTAAAATAAAAATTAACCAGGGTACAAAATCAGGTAACCTGATTTCTAATCGGAGGAAAGCTTAGAGACTTTCCAAATTGGGAGGGGGAGAATGAATAGATACAATTTCCTGAAATCAGAGAAAGAGGGTCCCACTCCCCCCAGGTGTCTGTATTCAGTCAAAGGAACATGGAAATAATAATTGGCCAGTACAGGACCAACTTTCAGATAAGACACACAGGTTACTTGAGATGCAGAATTGCGTCAGTCTTTGGCTCTGACTGGGTTTCTGGTCAGCATAATTCAAGTCCTTAGTTAAGAGTCTCTAAGCAGCAGGTGGGCATGGTCCAGCTTCCCAGCCATGCAGGACTAGTTTCAAACACAGCAGTAAAGTTTTTTCTCAGTTCCCATAACTGAAGAAAGTTTTCTCACAAGGCAGAAATTGAACTAGACCTATAATTGAATAGAACGGGACCCAAGATGGCGACAGTGTGACTCATTCACTTCTGCCAGCTCTCCCTTTGGATTCAGGGTGGAGGGGGCCAGTGCATTGCCTCTATGAATCCCTGATGTGTGAGCCAGATCTACAAGGTTTTTCATGTATTCGTAATCAGAATTACATAAGTCAGGCAACAGATCAAGCTACTTAGAGGGCTTACGACGGACTGATTTTGAGAGGAGAGATTTACATGTCCCCAAGGTAAAGAAAGTAAAGAAAACTAAGCAAAATAAACATCATGGAAAGGACACAGCAACACAGTGATGATCCCCCGTATTAAATAACATCAAGTCTCTTTGTATCCTGGCAACACTCCCAATGTCCATTTAATCACCAAGACATTTTGTCTCAGGGTCCAGACATCCCAAGTAGTCGTCTAGTCCTTGAAAATGTCTTCTCCTGGACCTTCTGGAATAGGCCTCAATCTCAGAGCCACTGTGAAGGGGGCTCTGCTTCTCTGGTTCCAAATGACTTGTAGAGATTCCTAGGTACCTCTGCTGACATCTGCTAGTAACAAGACTTGTTTTACAATTATTATCTCATTTGATTCCTCTGGGAGGTAGGTACTCTTATTATTCCCATTTTATTGATGAAGAAACTGAGGCTGACAGGGTCAAGTGACTTGCCCAGGGTCACATAGCTAGTAGGTGTCTGAGGCCAGATTTGAACTCAGGTCTTCCAGGCCTGGTGCTCTATCTACTGTACCACCTAGCTGCCTACTTCTAATTTACCTAAACAATTCTATTATATAAAGCTTTAAAAGTTCTGCTTCAGCCTTCCCAAAAGACATTGCTAGTTCCTGGTCATCTCTCCCCTGCCATCATTGGATCTCTGTCCTCGTTATCCACAACGGGGTCTGGGCCCAGGTTACAGTGGGAGTGGGGTAGAGGGGTCCCTCCTCTTGGGCCCCTTTTTACTTTAAATCACCCTTTCCATCCCTTAATTGAATTTTACTCATTTCTAAGTTGCTCCCTCATCTAAACAATATTTTCTCTTTTCGTGGTTAAGAAAAGGTGAACAGGAGGCAGCTATTTAAGTTTTACATAAATTTAAAAATGCAAAATGCATACCTGTTTTTTTTTTCCCCCACTCTGGCATTCCTTTCAAACCAGCTGCTTCCTGTCCCCACTGTTCTGTGGCCTGGGATGGCCTCTGTCACCTCTTGGCTTCTTTCTTATTCTCAGGGAGCTTCCTCAGATCCCCTGCAGCATTTCACCTTGCTCCTACCCGCATGAGCTTTGAGTCTTAAGCCCAAATGTGCCCCCTGGGGATTTACTGACCGAATGGCTGGGGTCTCGGCCCTAGCCATGTTCCTCTCTGGCTTTTCCTGTGATTCTCCACTGACAAAGGCATACAGAGGGCAGCAGGTGAAGCTTCATTCATCCATTTGGTTGTAATGATTTTTAAAAAGGTGTCAAGGGGAGAGGATGGAAAGCCCCATTGAACCAAAATGTGTTTTGTGTCCCCAGAAGATTTTAGTCTACTAGGACCTTCCTTCCCTTTCCCCTGGTCCTGTGGAGAAATGAGGTGTCGAACAGGATGCGTTTCCCCCAGAGAAATGCTAGGGAGTCCAAATCCTCAAAGCTTTGAGGAACTAAGCCTCTAGTTTAGGACCCAGTGAAGGAGGAGGCAGGGTCTTGAGGAGCAGCAGTGGGGCTGGGGGACAGGGCTTGTAGCTGACAGGCCTGCTGAGGAGCCTTTGGGTGTGAGGCCTGTCTCACACCTGCTGGTGATGACCGCAGGCGAATTTCAGCTGGTCAGCGTCCCTGGGAGCGCTCTCAGGCTACAAGGAGTTTAGCCACCTTGTGCCTTCCGAATGTGGTCCAGAGCAGGCGGGTCAGGCAGGGTTCAAGGCCAGCAAGGAAGAAAGCTAAGGAGCCCCTTTGGTGTCTTGGACACATTGGGCTGGTTTCTGCCAAGGCCAGGGTTCTGGAAGGGACTCTGTGGTGACTGAAATGAATGTTCACAAAGTTCATGCACTCTCAGTTTATGGGGAAGGGTAGCAGTTACCAATAAAATGAGTCTTTAGCTCCTCAGTAAGCCACAAGACCCTGAACAAAGGCTGACAGATTATTTTTATGGACAAAAGGAGAAGCGTCCAAAAACTAGCATCTTTGATGGGGAAAACGGTACCCTTGCTTACAAAGTCGGAAGGCTCATCAGCATGAGAAACAATACATTTGGTTGGAAATCAGGGATGCAGGGCTAGCAACAACCCCTCCTTCCATCTTGTCACTGTGGTACATAGAGGACATTTCTTCTGATTGGTCAAAGACAGCGAGTGGTGTAACGGTAGCAAGTTTCTTTAACTCGGAGACAAAGAAACGTGACTCAGGCAGTTGTGCAGAATGTCCGTGGTGATACAGAGTAGAATCAGTCACAGAAATGGAGACAATGTCCATTTGATTTTCTCAACTCCAAAGGGAGGAAGAATGAAGACCCTCGCCCACTTCTCTACACGATTCCTGCTAAAATTTCCCTTGGAAAACCCAGATGTTTGGTTTTGTTTTCAAAGAGTCATGGGAGGGGGCGTTGAGTTTGGGAATGTCACTTACTCAGTCAGCTCCTTCTGTCCCGTAGAGAAAAGGCGTCAGTTTGAAATGAAGAGAAAACTTCACTACAACGAAGGGCTCAACATTAAGCTGGCGAGGCAGCTCATTTCCAAAGAACTTCGGGGGGACGACGAAGACGAGGATGAGGATGATGACACCGAAATGAGTGAGTCTGGCGATGTAGAACGCGTGGCCACTGAGGCAGCGCCCCGGGAGGAGCTCTCGGCAGCCGTTGTCCCCACCCCCCTGGGGGGCTGCTGAGACCCGGGCCCCTGCCCAGTGGCAGCGCCTCCTGCCTGACCCCTGGGCCTGTGTGGGTCAGCTAACCGACTGGGGTGAGGAGAGTCAGTCGTGACCCCATGCCACGTAGTTTCCGAATACTCCGGTGGGCTCTTTGGAGACACTGTACCGAGCGTGCAGAGAGGGCTGTTGGGTCGGCCACTTGAGATTCAAGGCTCGCTGCCTGTCATTAACAGCTGGTGTCTAGAATGAGGGGAAACTGTGATTTTTTTTAAGTACTTCCTGCTCATCAGACTCCACATAGGAAACTGTAGAGTAGAAGGTGAGCCTGTTGGAAAGTTAACTGGGGGCTGGGGATGTCTGTTTGCAGCCAGCGAGCCTGCTCTGTGCCGCAGTAAGTGTGTGCCAGGGACGTCTCTCCTCGGTGGGCATGAAGACCGAGGGTGGACGCAGTGGGGACTGCTGGAGGGCAGCCCCCGGGTGGTGTCCAGGATCCACCTTCCTTACGAGGGGCTGCCACCCTTCCCCGCAGGGTTTCTTCCATTGTCCTCAAACTACACGTGCTGTAGTTCTCATCTTAAAACGGGTCCTTTCTGGCTTTTGTTTTATCAGACCCGGATGATGTCAGAAGCTTTTTTATGACTCATCTCGTTGAAGGCTTGTCTCTGTTCTCAGTGTTTCCTGGATACCGTAAAGGACTTGAAGTCAGGGAGACCTGAGTTCGAATCCTGCCTCAGACCCTTTCTGGCTTTGTGACCATGGACAAGTCACTTCAGCTTTGTCTGCCACCTCTCTCCCAGGGTTGTTGTGAGGATCAAATGAGTTCATTTTGCTAAAGCACTTAGCCCAGTGCCTGGCACAGTGCCTGTGGTTCATACATTTAGAGTTGGAAGGGTCCTTAGAGGCCCAGACTCCACCCACTGTGCCCTGCATCTCAGAATTGGTGACCCCTCCCTTGTCCTACCTTGACTCAGCTCTCACGTTTTGTACCTCAGAGGGGTTTCCCGTGCCACCCCGGCCCTCCCCCTGCCCTGCTGACTTTGAGGGGAATCCTTCCTGGATCTTCCCTGTCAGCCAGCCCAGACAGCAGCTGGGACCGTGTCCGCCAGTAACAGCGGTCTCTCCTTGTCCTCCGTTCACAGAACCTGGCAGGAGCAGCGAGTGCCAGAGCCAGTCCGGTGTTCCCTAGAAGAGTTGAGGGTAGCAGCTCCAGACCTCTGCTCCTTCACTGCTTCACGGTCTCCACACTTCACACCTTCGGGTGTCGAAATGAATATCAGTGTATTGCCAGGAATGTTAAGGGTAACATGAGAGAGCTCGACTGCTGGGGGAGGCAGAAAAGGCGGTGGGGAAGAGCTTGTGCCTTGTGCTTGCCTAAGAAGACTCCTGTTCACACTGGCATTCCTTTCCTGAGAACACTGGTTAGTTGGTATAGGCTTTATCGCTTTGTATGCTTTAAAAGTTAAACAGTAGCTTTTCGTTGTTAATTTATTTGCTACAGTTCAAGAGGTGATATATCACGCATAGATTTTTAAAAATCCAAATGGTATAGGAAGTAACAGGCTGAGAAAGTCTCATCCTGATTAAGGATAGTAACCTTTTTTTTTTTTTAATTGAAAAAGGGATTCTTTTAGCAAAAGCTCTTCCGTAGCTCTCCCTGATCTAGCAACTTTTCCTTTAGACCTTGAAAGGAAAGCCTGGCATTTTTTATCTGTTCCAAAGTAGCTGTTTTCACAGAAGCGTTTCGAGGTTCGGTTTGCACTAACCCCTGGCCTCCTACCCTTTTGTACACTCTATGGGCAGATTAGAAATCTGTTTTTTTGTTTTTTTTTTTTGAGTGGGCACAACTCAGTAATCTCTCCACCCCTTCCATGCCAGCCCCCATAACAATCCGCCACATACATATAATCAACAGGTCCTTGAGATTTGATTTTCAATATGGTAGGAACTGGCCTTGTGTAGACTACTCCATCACTTAACCATTATAGTAACTCGTGAGTAACCACAGTGGCTGATTAGGGTTTCTAGTCTGCGTGGGCCTCAGGTGGAGCTGTCTTTAGTAATGACAGCTTCACAAGAATATCACTCAAGAGTTTACCTGAAGAAATTAATTGTGTTCTTCCCCCACTTTGGGGAATGTTCAGCCCATCAATCAAACTGCTGTTGAGTTCTTTTTCTACTTCAATAGATCCTAGGAAATCCAAACTGCATTGATTGCATGACTAGGAGAGGATTGTGTGATGTGATCTGGTGTAATTCACAGACCGTACTCGGTCTTGACGTGAGATGAGTGTCAGTAGGGCCTTCTTCAAGAGTTGCTATGAAAGCCACGTGCGCTCTCATCTTCTCAGGTCCAAATACTTGGGTTCTCTGTGCAGTGGAGGATAAATCCAGTGTGTTTCTTGGCCTGGTGACAGCTTAATTTGTAATCAGATATCTGTAGGTTAAATTTGATCCTTTTGAAAGCAGACTTTCCATTATATGGATATACTTTTAAAATTTCTTGTGTATCTTGTATATATAAATAACTCTTTATTGAGCAGCTTGACTATTGAAACATCAGTGTGTGAGTCAGTACAACAATGAAGACTGGTTGCCGTTGGAAAAATGTAGTACTTCTTTTACACATTTTATGAAATAGAAGTATTTTTTTACAGTGAGAATCCAGATAAGACCCTTGAAGCCACAGGGGCTGTATCCCAACCAGAGGAAGTCTTGCTGGGACACCTTCCACTGCTTGTCCCCTCCTTCCTTCCTTTAATACAGTGGTGTTACACTTTTTTAAAGCGTTCTGGCTCTGTGGGGAGGGGGGAGGGGAGTGCCTGAGTAAGGGATCCCCATCTTTTATCTCGTTTTTTTGTGTTCTTGAGGTTTTTTAGGTTTTTGTGTTTATGTGTGTGTGTGTGTGTGTGTGTGTGTATGTGTGTATCTATATATCTATATCTATCTACATATATAGATAGATATAAATGTATATCTATCTACATATATAGATAGATATAAATGTATATCTATCTATATATGTACACACACACACACACACACACACACACACACACACACACACGAGAGAAAACAGCTGCTCTTTGAAGACCTAATGTAAAGAAAGTTCTTGGGGCTAAAGTATTAGATGACACTTGGCTGCTCTTTATAAAGGCTGGGATTCTTTCCTAGAAGCTATAGGTTTACAAAGTTAATTGGAAAACCACTTTATTCTTACCCCGTCTTCCAAATTTAGGCAGACAGAGAAACTTTGTTCTATCTGTAAAACAATACAGAAGACATCTATTACTTGGAATGTGTATAGTTAAAATCTGTTATTAAATATGTCAGGACAAAAGCTTGGCCACGTAGTTTGATGAAGATGAAGGGACATGTTTTCATAAAGTCCTTTCTGGGTTGCCCACAAATTGCTATTACAAAGTGAGCGTCTGAAAAATTACCTGATTGTAAATGTACGAAAACAAATGACTAAATAAAATTTGAAAGACTTCTAATTTGCTTGAATTTTTTTTTTTACCTTGCATATAATAGACTCAATAAATTTTTGTTTAATTTACTTGGAAATAAAAGAAAAATTTAATTTTTCTTAGGCTCTAAATATAGATAACTTTTTTTTAGTTTCAGTTGGCTTATTAAATAGCCTTGTAGCATTGCAGTCTGTGGACATGCAAGTACTTGTAGATGATTTGCCTTTCTTTTGCCCAGTTGAGCACTAGCGCCAGCCACCTTTGGCTGTTCTGTCTGTTGCAGGTCCTTGGGCATGTGGTCCCTGTGCAGTTGACATGCACTGTCCCAAAGTGATTCCCCCCCACTTTGAAGGAGAGTTGACCAGGGGTGGGGAACCTGCGGCCTCGAGGCCACATGTGGCCCTCTTGGTCCTCAAGTGTGTCCCTGTGGCTGAATCCAAACTTCATAGAACCAATGCCCTTAATAAAAGGATTTGTTCTGTAAAACTTGGCTGCGCCCACGGATGCAGAAGGCCACATGTGGCCCCCTGGTCAAGAGTATCCACTTATTCCAGGGGAGAGAAGGGGACTGGGCAGTCCCACCTCTAGGGTCATTCTAATTCCAGTGTTCAGTTCCATGATACTGAGTCTTTCCATTTGTATTGGTAGAGACCCAGAGGCTCTTAGTTGCCAAATCTGATGGCCTTTTCAGTCTGTTTTCTTCGCACTATTGACCACCTCCTCCTAGAAACTGTTGCGTGTGTGTACACACACACACACACACACACACACACACACACACACACACTGCCCTTCCAGTCTTCTTTACTAGATCATCCATATCATACCTTTTGTCTGATTGTTCCCCAAGGCTGTGACCTAGGCCCTCTTCTATTCTCTCTCATTGAAACCTTCGTTCCTCCTCATTTTCTTCCTTCTCTTCTAGGCGACACATCTGAGGCCCAGCAACTCCATGCCAAGGATTGAAACTCACATGTGTCCTATCATTTCCAGAGCCTGAGATCTAGTATCCTTTTTCCTGAATCCCTCTGACCTAGACTTTATTCCTTTGTGTCCCTAGGTGCTTTTTAGGCCTCAGGTGTTTCCTTGTGTAAACAGAAGGGTTCAGTGGGGCCAAGATGGCAGATTGAAATGAGTATTTTTGCTGAGCTCTCCCAAAAGACCCCTCTAGACAACTTTAAAAAGTGTATAAAAACTGGGGCAGTTAGGTGGCGGGGTGGATAGAGCACCGGCCCAGAAGTCAGGAGGACCTGAGTTCAAATCTGGCCTTAGACCAAACACTTGACACTTACTAGCTGTGTGACCCTGGGCAAGTCACTTAACCCCAGTTGCCTAAAAATAAAAATAAAATAAAAAGTGTGTAAAAACCAATTTTCCAGCAGGAAAACCAGCAAAAAGTCAAAATGAGTCATTTTTCCAGCCCAGGGAAGCTTCTGAGACAAAGAGGTGTGCAGACACTGGAGTAGGGGCTGGCCAGAAGTGTGGTGCGGTAGAAGTGGCGCCGACCCCAGTGGACCTCAGAGGTGGTATGAGCCACAACAGCAGCACTGAGGGATGAGTGAGGGGTCGAAAGAGATTCCAGGCACTGGACGTGGGATCTGGTGCCATTCGGCAGCTCTGCCTCCCATCACCCAGTTCCAGGTCGGGGTTCCTGGGCAAAGAATGATTATGGTTGTGTGGGGGCAGGATCCCTGCCTTGGGAAGCACCGGAGTGCCAGCCAGGTGAGTGAGCAAAATTCTCCCTGGACCACACCACCTTGGAAGTACCAAAAACTTCGAGGCCCCTAGACCTAGCCGTGAAAGCAGCAGAAAGAATAAAAGACAAGAGTTCAGATCAGATATCCCCCAATGCCTAGAAATAAGCAGAGCCCAATTCTAACACAGTTTAAAGTTAATAAATGGACTGGAAAAATGAGCAAACAACAAAAACCCTGATCATAAAAGACTACTATGGTGACAGGGAAGCCCAAGACAAACTCTGGAGAAGACATCAATGTGAAAACAGTTACAAGAAAAGCCTCAAAGAAAAAATGCAGATTGGACACAGGCCCAGCAAGAATGCTTAGAAGAGCTAAAGAAAGACTTTAAAAAATCAAAAAGAGTGGTACAGGGGAAAAATGGGAAAAGAGAACAGCTTGGTAAAAGAGGCCAAAAAAAAAACCAAAACCAAAACAAACCCAACCCTTAAATCCTTAAAAGTCAGAATTGGATGAATGATAAAAGGTATAAAACCTAACTGAAGAAAATAACTCCTTAAAAATTAGAATTGGGCAAGTGGAAGCTAATGACTCTGTGATATCAAGAAGCAAAGCAGAGTCATAAGAATGAAAAAATAGAAGAAAACATGAAATATCTTATTAGAAAAACAACTGACCCGGAAAAGAGATAATTTAGGAGTTATTGGATTAAAAGTCAAGATAAAGAGCCTAGAAATCATATTTAAAGAAATTGTAAAGGAAAATTGCTCAGATAACTTGGAATCAAAGGGCAAAGTTGAAATGGAAAGAATCCACTGATCACCTCCAGAAAGAGATCTGCAAAGAAAAACTCCCAGGAAAGTTTTAAAGTCCAGAACTGCCAGGTCACGGAGGAAGTGTTGCAAACAGACAGCAAGAAAGAATTCAGATGCCATGGAGCCCCATTTAGAATCACATGAAATTTAACCATTAAACACTATAAAAGGGTGGGAAGCTTGGACTATGATATTCTGGAAGGCAGAGGAGCTAGGATTACAACCAAGAATAAATTATCCAGCAAAACGATGTAATCCTACCCAGGGTGAGGTGTTTTTGGTGGTGTCAGGCCAAAATTAGCACAAGTGGCAGAGAATTGATCCATACTATGTTGTATTTCAGCCTCAGAGGCTGCACTGAGTGCACAGTCACCTGTAAACAAAAAGTCATGCACCAACTCTCCCTCCACTTTAGTCTTGGGTTGTAGCCTTTTCCAGTTAAATAATTTACCGTCAGTACAGTGGCTGACTTTGATGCCATTTTCATCTGTGTTGAAGGTGTCCAGAAACAAAGCTGAAAACATACTAAAAAGCACGGGAGCAAGCACGAAGCCCTGCTTCACTCCATTGGTGACTGGGAAGGAGTAAGAGCATCCATTATCCAGAACCGAGGCAAGCAGGTCATGGAACTGACATACGATACTGACGAACTTCTCTAGGCAACCTCCTTTTGCCATGATCCGCCACAAGCCTCATGGCGGACAGTACTGGAGGCCTTGGTCAGATCTACAAACAGTGTGCACAGACCTCTGTTCTGCTCCTGGCATTTCTCCTGGAGTCGTCGGGCAGCAAACACCACATTGACCGTTCCTCGGCCCTTTCTGAAGCCATACTGGTTCTTGGGTAGATGACCATCCTTCAGGTGAAGATCAGCCTATTAAGGAGGACTCTGGCAAGAGTCTTTCCAGCAGTGACTAAGAGAGAGACCCCTCTGTGATTGTCACAGGACAACCTATTTCCTTTTCCTTTTTATAGCGGTGGACAAAGGAGGCGTCCTTGATCTCCTGGGGGAGAACCTCCTCTTGCCATATAACCCAGGAGGTTTCAGTCAGCTTTGGCGTGAGCAGTGGGCTCCCCGCCTTGTAGATCTCAGCTGGAGTAGAATCAGCACCAGGGGCTTTGCTACATGAGAGGAATTTAATGGCATTCAAAACCTCTTCTTTAGTTGGAAGTTTGGTTAGAGAGGGATTGATTGATTCAGTGTACGGTCAGTGGCTTCAACGTTGGTTGATGATGGTCTGCTGAGAACACTGTGGAAGTGTTCAGCTTATCTGTCCAGGATCATGTTCTTATCAGTAATTAATGTTGCTCCATCAGAACTGAGTAATTGAGATGCACCATACGTCTTTGGCCCATAGAAAGCCTTCAGGGCATCATGAAAGAGCTTTGGATTGTTGCTATCAACTTAAAACTGCATTCCATCTGCCTTCTTACTGAGCCAAGAATCCTGCATCTGTCTAAGCTTCATTTGCACTCTACTTTTGATGGGATTAAATGCTGCCTTCTTTGAGATGGATGGGCTATCCTGCTGGCAAGCCTTGTAGAGTTCTTGTTTTTCACTTAGCAGCTTCTGAATTTCCTCATCATTTTTGTCAAACCAGTCTTGATGTTTGTAAGTGTTCTTGCCCAGATGAGTACATGCGGTACTGTTCTCTGAAAGCTGCCCATTCCTTTTCTGCTCCACTGTTGCCAACATTGTGTTGGCTCAGCTTTCCCTCCAAGTTAGCAACAAACTGCTCCCACTTGGAGAAGTGCCCCAATCTGTTGACATGAAGCCTTTTAGTAGTCGTTTTGCCTTGCGGCCGCCACTTTTGTTGTGAATGTTTAGCTTGGAGAGGCTAAATCTATGGTCAGTCCAGCACTCTGCACCACACATTGCCTTCATCACTCTCACATCCTGTCTGTCTCTTCTCCTCACAATGACATTGTCTGTTAAATG